ACCCAATTCACCTAAATGTTACAGCCCTGCACATACAGTTTTCTTGGCAACAATATCCAAGTGGTTTGTCACTATAGTACCTTCTTCCAGGCATGATTTAGATTGCCTTCTCCTAGGTGAACTGAATTTCCTCATGCTCCCACTCCTGTTGCTGATTGCTCTTAACTTCCCCTTTAAACACTTCCTGCAAATGACCCTACCAGAGCCCATGGTCCAATCAGCATCACATTCAAGAGTCACTGGAGATACTAAGTCCTCCCATGACCTTGAGGTTAGTTAACTAATTCATTCATTCCCTGGAGGGAACTGTATTTAATAACTATTTATTCAATTAGTATACATTCATAGATTTTGTCCTGGTCTTATCCTTTTTTAGAACATTACTTCCAATAAGTATACACGCATGTATCACAGATGTGTGCCATGGAGAAAAGGGAATCTCCCATATTAGTTTCTGCTAAAATTGTCAACTCAAGGTTAATAATGTAAAGAAGCTGAACATTGCACCAAATGTTTGCCTAATTTTATAATTTTTAAATCTAATTTTCCTTTGGGTGGCAGGAAATTTGTCTTGTTTTGGATAAATATGGTACTCAGCCCCAACTGTCAGTTATCCTAGGACTGCAAAACTGGAAGGAGACAGACTCTGGCTTTTGTTGGCAACAAAAAACCAAGGCCCACTCAAAGGAAGCATCATTTGCATCTTGGAGGCTCAGCATAATAGAGGAAAGACCAAATTTGACCAGGAAAGGAACAGATATCCCATACTTATGTTTTTCTTCCCTGTTTCCCCATGCGCTCCTGGAAATGACAGATCTAGGTAAAGTAAAAATGCACATAATGACATCTCAGTTGGCAGAACTGTTTGATTATGTCTGGACTTTCAAACTAAGCTGAGTTGGGCCTGGTTAGTATTTGGAAGGGACCAAGAGAGCTGAAGGCTAGACTGGATAGTTGAAAAACATATTCAAAGAAAGAAATGTAAAACCGCTTCCATATTGTTGTCAACAAAACTATGGTTGGGTCCACAAGTTTGACTTGGCAGAGTATTTACATTTTATTTATTGGATATGTTAAGGCCACTCAACTCCAAGAAAACTCTGGGTAGCTTACAATATGTCCAATAAATATGCTAAAAACACAACTAAAAACCATATGATTGTCCAGACTTTTTATTTTCTATACTATTCTCTCTGTCAGAGAAGCCCAGTGTGTTTACGAGTTGTTAAAAATCTTAAACATCATAACACCACCAATAATCCTTAAAAATTCAGAAATCAAAATAAAGTTCATTTTTATAAAGCAGAAAAGCAAAAAGAAGACAATTAGAAAGTCAGTCCTAAAGTTTTTGTTATCCCATAAACACATGGGTGAACAGGGTCTGATTGGTTTACTTAAAAAAAAAAAAACTCATTCAAACTCTCACATATTTTAACATGAACTGTAAGGCTGCTTTTGACAGGTGTTTAGATTATTGACCAGGGCTGGTTTTAGTTAGCAAGTTACTCATACATCACAACCGCATTATCAACTGCAAGATCATTTCCAGGCACAATTCAGGAAATTATCCATAAAACCTTACATAGTTTGATCCCACACTACTGGAAATTCCAGCTATATGAAAGTTATATAAGGTTTTATATATAAAACCCACATTGTTTGAAATACCAAATTCAATATGATACTGCCTGGGTTTTGAGACTTTGCCTTGTAAAAAGCCTCCTTTTCATTTGAGGTTGTTTTAAGCTTATCTTATTGGCTTCTTTTTAACTTACTGGATTTTGTATTCATACTCTATTAATAACTATGAAAAGTAGCTGTGGTTGGAAAGGCAAGATATAAATTCAATAAAATAAATAGCTGAAACTCAGTGCATGAAGCAGATTTTGCTAATTTTACCAGCTAGACGGTATGGATCCAATTTTAATGCCTATTTAAAATGCATGGTATAATGTTTAAAATCCTAGACAGAATACTACAGAAGGGGAAAAAAATCAGCCTGCCCTAATTTGGGACACTGTAGATATTTCAGACTATAAGCACGAGATTTCAGCCAACAAGGATAAAAATGCTGACTCAGCTGGCCAGAGTTTGTTCAACACATACTCTGGGCTTCAGACTGAGAAAGGATAGCCTCTTCTGCAACAAATCTTTATAAACCTTACCCTAATATAACTTTTAAAAAAGCTCTTAGCAATTACAAGGCAAACAGTGCTAGATGTAACAGCTTTTTAGCCATCAAGTCCATCATCTAGAACTCCCTCCCCAAGAACTGTTTCCACCTTCTTTTTAATGCCAAGAGCAAATCTTTGTATTTGCTCTAAGTTTTAATTTTTTATAATTTATGCTGAAATTTAACATTGTTCAGTTTTATTATCTTAATATAATATACAGTATTTAATGTTAATTATTTGTTTTCACCTTCTGGCAAGTTGATCAAAACTTTAGCTGAAATACATTTAAAGTTCAGATATTATTTTCCTTTTTTCTCTAAAAAAGTCTTTCCTAATGCTTAACTTTAATACATTGTTACTTTATATGCAATTTAATGGGTTTTCCATATTGCCTTACTGTTTGTAACTTTTTACATCACTGAAAGTTGCCAAATCCTGCATCTCAAGCTTCATTTTTGAAACAAAGCCATGCCTTCATGTTTGCCTTATCATTACAATCTAATGTCTATATATTATCTAGCTCTACTCAGTTAACAGTATAAGTGACAAGATCCTTATAAAAGTCAAAATAGAAAATAGTTCCTGGAGGACCATTTTGAAAAATGAGAAATAGTAACTTATCACATAAAGGAAACTGACAATTTCTGATGCTATACATGCCATGTTTCTGTCTGTACAAAGAAAATAGGAAAATCAGATAATATTCTTCAACGAATAACTGATAATTCTTAAATTAGAGGCAACAAGATATTCTGCATCCCTGTACTAAATCATATCATGGTTATTTACCCCATCATAAATCCTACGCTACAGTACCTTTTATTCATTAGATATTACTATTCAACTAGTTATCTGTTTGGGATTCCTCATCTTTAGCACACTGCCATCTAAATCAAATCTGGCCAGAAAATGTCTAGGAGCACTTTCACTAGAGAAGAAAAAAATGTAACTTTCTTGAACACAGGTTGGGGGCAAAGGGATAGTACCAGACAGTGCAAGGCCAGGCAGATACAAAAATTTAGACTTTTTACTGTTATTTGTTTTGCCAGAAAATGTCACAGAGCCTAATGTAATGAGATTTCTCTCAATGAGCCATGGCTGACAGGGACAGCATTTCCTGGATTATCCAGAATTTAGTCCGGGAGACTTATCCAGTTATTTGTCTGTGTTTTACATCAGACTGTTGCTATATAATCTTCCTAAGAGTTTATCAAAAGTGATATAAACAAGCTGATTCAGAAAGCCACGCAAGAGAGGCGTTGACACCGTTTCTTCGACAAGGCAGGGCACTCTCTTGTCCGAACTGGCCACCAGCCATACACAGAGAGCAGGGCCCGTCTTTACAGCACACCCTTCGCTCCGCTCCTTGCTTCTATTCCGCCCCCTCCGCACTAATGAGTCAAAAGGATTCAAAGAAGACCCATACCCTCCCTCGTCCCTAGCTATAAAAAAAGCAATCACGGCCACCAGCAAAAAAACTCCCAATGCGCGATAGGGGTCACTGTCCATGGATCAGGATCCCGTAAGCCAAGAGGCTGATGTGATGTAGGCTGGGGCAGCGGGAGAGGAAAGAGGACAAGACAGGGGGCGAGTCTGGAAACAATCAGAGGGGAAACAATACGGCCGGGCAGAGGCAGCCCCGGGGAAATATAATAGGGCTGGCGGCAGAAGATGAAAACGTCTGCGGCCGCAACCACGCAGCCGTGGGAAAGAGCGCTAGAAAAGCTGGCCGCGGGTGCGCTGGGGAAGGGGTTGGGGGTCCTCCTCAAAGCGCCTGCGCTCACCTCCCCCGCCTGACCCCTGCGCTCTCCCCGCCAATTAAGCCCCTTCCCATAGCCCAATCCCCTCCGCTCCCTACAGTTACCTCATATCTATCGGTCTCGGGTGTCCTCTTCGCACCCTCGGACAGGACGGAGGGGAGACGGCCAGGCAGCAAAGGCCATTGCCTCCGCGAAACACACCATTCCCTCCGCGCCCACTGCCGTTCCTGCTGCTTTAACCGCCACCACCGCCGCCTCTTTAGAGTCGCCGCCGTCTCGGGGAGAGGGGAGGGGGAGGGGAGAGACCTGCCTTCCCGGCTTCTTCTCACACACCCGCTATATTACTGCGCAACGCGGAGAGAGACCAATCCCGACGCAGCCAACCGAGCCTTCGTTCACGCAGCGATCCCACCCCTCTCCCTATGACGGACGCGCCCTTCCACCAGTAGGAAAGGCGGAAATGTCACTCAATTGATCGCTGTAAGCGCTGATTTATACGATGCCTGAGGGGCTTGAGTTTGCACGTTTCGTCACGATTACAAAACGGACGAAAATTAGCAGTAGTTAGTGTGGAAACGATACAAGGAAAAGTTATAGGGCTGAGATTCCAGCCACAAGAAGGTCATTAGAACGTCTCATTTTTCCCTTAGAAAAAGCACAAATAATCTTGAATACTATTCAAACCAAAGCTCTCTAATTTTCACGTGTCTACTCCGACTTTTCCACCCTTCAGTAATTGGAGAAGCGTTGCGGGATGGAACCAGATGATTCGCGTTGCACAGAGTACCGGGAAATGTAGTCATTTTAATCCAGAAACTCAAAGTCGCGAAATGCTCAGGATATGTCTGAATGGAGGATTCTTGCCGTATCGTCCCGCCTCTACTTCGAGTGACGGCTGAGTTGGCCAATTAACAGTTGCCTTTCAGGGAACCCTTATTGTAGGATTTAGTAATTGACGTTTACGCTCCCGCGAGAATAAGAGAGGGGCCTCAAAGAGGTAATGGGCTTGGAGAGGTAGCCGCGGACTCTTTTTCTCGCGTGGGTGAGGGGTGATAGACGTGTGAAAGGCAGGCAGAGAGTGTAGCGGTGCAGCTCTAGTGTCTATCATCCGTCGCCTCCTTGATGTTCCCTAGCCGCGCAGTAACCCTACACGCTTCGTTTCAGCTGTGCTTGGAAGAGTTTCAGACTCTTGAAACTGAACCCGTAACCACCTCGTAATAACAGATAAGCCAAAATCTGTTACACGTTGGTCCCGTCTCAAAAATTAGGTGAAAAATAATTTTCGGTAGCTGGATTCACATACCACGCTAAGCTGGGACATAGATGGTTTACCTTTAGCGTACAATATGATGTGATTGTTTAGGTTTGCTATAATGTGTGAATGCAAGTTTTATGGTTTGTAAGCCATGATTCAGTGCGACCTATTTGATTCAGGGTTAAAGCAAAAAGTGATGTATACATTCAGATGCTGAATGGTGGTTTTGTACAGTAACCCCAGATCTAAATACATAAATCAAAAATACTTCACAATCCTCATTGGCCCCAATGAAGTAAGCAAAGGCTGCATTCACACATGTTAATCTGGGAATAATGTAACTTGAGTTACATTATTACAAGCCAATTACAAGTTACAAGCCAATTTTCAGTTGTGGGATGTCCTGAACCCACAGTTTTTTTTAAAGTGCTGAGCAGATTTTACAGATTTCCAAAGCAAAAAAACCCAACTTTTTTTACTAAAGAAAAAATATTAATTTTCTTCCTATGGTGAAGAAGATGCACTGTAGGTCTGTTATGTTGCTTATCATTGCCATTTTGAAAGCAATAATATTGATGCAGAGTTAACTGATCAATAGTTTACTGACTGAACCAAAATAGTTTGGATTTGCACACCAGTGAACCATAAACTGACCGTGGTGGGTGTGTTGGGCAGCGCATTGAATCATAAGCTAATCACATTAGCTGGATTTTTGTAACGGCATCACAAACTAGAGACCAATGAATAGGTGACAGATTGTTGTGATGAACAAATAAACAGCCTAACCATATTTTAGCCCAGCATGTTATGCAACCCAATCTATGTCACATAACAATATGGCATTCGTTTTTGAATGGGAAATAATAGAAATACCATATTCTCTTTTACCTTCATATGTAATGTGTAGATTAACATCTAAAATATTTTTTGTTAAAACTTTAGAAGTTCTGTTTAGGTATGTTTAGGGCTACTATATCTGGCCTGGAAAAATCCAGGCAAGCACTAAATGCCAGAAAAGAGACAGAATCTTCTAGCATCTGAGTTTTATAACAATAGGTATTTTATTTTCTTCTCTGAATTTTAAAGATCATTATGAAGGGCTTATATTGGCAGCAGAATTCTGAAGAAGAAAGAGATTTCATCTTCCTGGAAAAGGTGAGCTACATTGCTATCTTACATATTTGTTCAGAGTTCTGTATTTGATCAGGGACTGATACTTTCTCACCTAATTGAACAGTATATCTAGCCACCTAAATCAAATCTTTTTTGCTTTGTTTGATCTTAAGCAGGCCTTTCATTCTATTTCTAGGGAAATTCTTTGGCACAAGCTGAAGGCATTTCCAGTCAATAGACAGTTACTCACTCTGTCATAAGCACTTCCCAAGAATACCAGCCTAAGAGTGAGATATAAGTAGCAGCCATCTCTCCAATGCAGCACCAACCAGTAAGGAGTTAAATAAAGGTGTATTTTGGACCCATTATTATTCAAGTTTTACAGCAGTGCAATGGTGGGTTATTTCCTCAAAATTGGGATACAGACATGTATCTATACAGTACTGCTTTATATATATGATGCTGTACTATTATTGCAAACACCTGTAGGCCATAGGGGAACACTGACCCATTTCTGTGAGGAACACTCATTACAAATTAACTATGAGAAAATAAAGGTCATTCATTTTGCTTTAAAAATTGACTTTGAGCCTCGAGGAGCATAAAATACAGCATGTTCCATGTTTTAAGTATCTGGGCTTTGTGCTGCAATATTTGGGGAAGTGACATGTTCACACTGCCTAGGTTGCTTTGAATGCTCAGAGGAGTTCAGCAGCAATTGTACCATTTGCATTGAAGCTTTTTGAACCCAAGACTTTGGCACAGGTCCCATACAGAGCCCAGCTAAACCCAGGCATCAACTATTATAAACTAGACAGACTACAAACCAACTTTCTAAGATAAGTGAAACATATTTCCAGTATTGCCCTAGAAATACTGTGCTTAAATATCAGCTAAACGTTAATTTTCAGGCTTAAGATCTAATGCATCTTATTCTGACAGACAAATATTCTTCCTGGAAACAGCAAATAGATGACAAATTACAAAAAACAGGATTTTTTCCTGAGCTGCTGATGAATTTGGGACAAGAACAGGTTACATAGTTCTCAAAGAAGTCTCAGTGCAGAATTACAAACTTAATACAGTAAGCCCTGACACAGAATACAACTGGGTTATAATAAATTTTATTGTTTATGACAACATACACTTTGACCAACCTACAAATAATCAGTTTAATAAGGCTTTCATACTACTGCATTGTGATATCTTGCCATCAGCTGTACTAGAGCATAAATTTCAAAAAATCCTCTATGCAGAAACATTTTGCCCTTATGGAGTATCGAATCACAGACTCATGTTTTACTTTATTGTAATTTTGAGTTATTAGAAATGGGCTACTAATACCTCTTTTTAGGCTCATTCCTGGACACACAGAATTGTACATTCAGCTTTTTTTGGTGGATGAGGATCCTAGAATTACTCCTGCCATAAGTGTGTAATTGTAGGCTATAGAATTTGTGCTTTGTTAATAGCAAAGTTGATTAAGCATGATCACAGGATTTTTTATTATGTGTGTTATATTGTGTTATTGTTACCTGGGTTTGTGATCTGTGAGATGTATTTAAGTCCCATTTATTTTAAGAAACTTAATTCCAGTCAAGAGGTCCTTATTTCCTAAAAGGAAGCAAACAAGCAGAATCAAAATTAATTTGGAACAGATTTCCAAATCTTCTGGTGGACTATAATTTGGAGTCCTTGGTGCTCTCTGAGGTTGGTTGTTTGCAGACATTTCATTACCCAACTAGGTAACATCAGTGCTTGCAAGTGTGGGGTTTGCTCCCTACACTCACAGTACACAGTGAGAGCGCAACCAACACTGGCAGGGCAAGCTGCTGTATATAAACAGGGAGCAAACCCCACACTTGTAAGTGCTGATGAAGTTACCTAGTCAGGTAATGAAATGTCTGCAATCAAACAAGCAAGCTCAGAGAGCACCAAGGACTCCACAGTTCAACCCTGAGCTACGTATATTCTCTTCTGTTGGAATAGAACTATATTATGGTAGGAAGAAGCATGAAAGCATAAAACACAGTCTGAGCAGTCAAACCATGGTTTAGACATTAATTAAGAGCCAAGCCTAGACTTAATGCAAGTTATGTAATAATTTGTATTTTAAAGTAGAAACATCTAAATCCAGCAATTATTTTCTTCACAGCACAGAAAAAGAAGTGTATCTGTTAGCAAAACTTGTCACTTTCCATTCTGAAAAAACAAATGATCTAAAATAGTGAGGAAACAGTGTAACCATGTGAATTCAAGGAAGTCAACATTGCATTTTTGCAGGAACTGCTTAGTAATATTAAAATCACAATACATTATCTTTGGCATAATTTTAAATCTTTGCAGAATACAACCACAGTACTATAAAGAAAAGGAGCAGAGTGATTTCCAATGTTCGTTAAACTAAAATATTTCAACATAAACTGATCTAACCCCTCTTCATATTAGATATAAATGACATGTAACTATGCCGAACCTACTACAGTTCAACCAGATTTATGAAAATAGCACCTTCATAAATGGTGTCCAAAGAGAGTTCAACAGTAATTATTGTTGGCAATAATTGATGAAAGAGATTTTAAATACATTGAATTATTTCTTTTAGATTTGCTCTGCTTGTAACATTTTATAGTTACAATTTAATAGAATATATGTATATCACTAGGAGATTTGCAGATTGCCAACTTTTTTTATTTTTAGGGCAGGACTAAATGTTTCTGGGAAATATATGCCAAAATAGTTTGACTATTTGTGGAAAAGCAGATGGAAGGGATAAAAGTGAAAGGTGTTTCATTTTTCTATTTCCCTTTGTATTTATAACAACACTGTCATTCAATTCTCTGTTTCACTGTTCCAAAATTATATTTACTCTCACTGTTGTGTTTTCTCCACATGGAGAAAAGTGGTTTACAGGTTGTAAAGTAAATAAAGAAGTGGCAGATTGGGACAGGTTAAGTATCCCTGCCTGCCACTGCCTCTCTACTCCATTAGGATTCCCCCCCCCCGCCAAATTTGCCTTTTTAAACGCAATATTCTGCTAGAATTTGTTACGCATTTGCATATAATGTAATTCTGCATTTCTGTTTTCACCGCAGCTACTAATATTGCTTGAAATACAAGCTGTGTTTTAAACATAATATTTCTTCAGCAGTATAAGCTTTCAGTTGCACAGGATCAAAATCTGAAAGAAAGTTTCAACTGGTATTTTGATTGTCCTGATGTGCCAATACAGCTTGTTTGAAATATGTTCTTGACTGTTATTTATTTCTTAGTCAAACAGTTGGATTTGCTTTCTAAAAATATATTAGAAATTGTGCCTACACTTTCAATTCACCTTAGGATAGCTTTCCTGTTGTGAATGACAACTATGTGAAAGTGCAAGTCAAAGCCTGTGCTCTTAGCTGGATTGATCAAAAGGTATTTATATATTTTTATATGTTTGTCAAATGATTATGAATTTATTTTTCTGTGAATATACTCTCAGTAAATTCAAATTCATGCAAAAAAGTTTAATATCTAGACCATCTTATCTGTATAATAGATTCATATGTGAATCACAGCACAATTCTAGACATGTTTCTCAGGAAGTCTTGCTTTGTTCAGAAAGCTTGCCGTATAGCCTGCAGCATAAGATTACTTGTTTGCATGTAATTATTTTTATCCTTCACTTTTTTCCCTCCTAGATAAATTGGTCTGAGTTCCTTTTTTTTCTTTCTGAAATATATAAAATGGTAACATTAATGTAGAAAAATAATATCCTAAGGCCCAAATGATTAGCTTCTGTGTCATACTAGTCAATTGCATGCTGCGTGGAATAATGTTTCCCATAAGTCTTTTCCACATAATTATCTTAATGGATAGCACAGCTTACCAAGGGAATTGTCTGCATCGTCTGCAGAGCTTTCATTTGACTCCCAAGAAGGTTTACCGTTGATGTGAAGAACCTCTACAAAATAGGCAAGATCTTTGCAATGGTCTATTGTATAAATGATAACTGATTCACTTACCACATATATGTTGTTTCAGATGACTTTCACATGATGACCATTACACATACATTGGCACTAATAGAGGAATAAGTGAATGCTGCCTGACTCCGCTTAAATTAAGCACTCTTTTGGGTGCATTGTCTTGCCCTGTTAAGTCAATTGGCAATATGTACCTAGAAGCAGAGCTACAATTTATAAGATTATGCATTCAAAAGTATGCGTTTAGCATAAAAGGCCATATATTACATTTTATGTTTTGAGATTGATTTTAATAAAATATAAGATAGACATTTTATAAATAATTAAAAATGAATTACTTGGTCCTAAGCTTATCTAGCTTCTTTTTAAGCACAAAAAAATTAAAAATGTGTATGTATTACATACTTCTAGTCAAATTTTCAAGTGTTTACAGATTGTTTTTTGAATGTAATCATTATGAAAACTAAACTTCCACATCAAGTTTATAGTTTCAAGAATGCTAGACTTACAGTTCAGTGCATAATTTAGAAGTACTTCTTCATGCTCAACATTTACTTTCAGGAAAAAAATGCATTCTGTTGCAGCCTTAGCCTCCGTTATTCTTTTTCCAAATAATCAGGGACCCATTGCTATTAGAAGCAGGAGTCCATATGAGCATTTTACTGTTCTCTCTGCAGATGTATTAATCTTGATAATAGACATTCTAACTGTTAATGTAATTAGCTTTTGTCAGAAATAAAAAAAGAGAAGAAAGTTCTACCTGTTGGAAGGGAAATTGCTGGTGTTGTGTTGGAAAGTAAGTATACTAATTTGCATAATCTGTAAAATATTGAAATGTTCATCATGTTAAAACTACCAGTTCCTACTTTTAGTGGCCCTCTTCTAGATTCCATTACACTCTAGTAACTGGACAGAGAACCTGTAACACTCCAGATGTTGTTGAACTACAACTCCCAGGCTACTAGAAGTTGTAATTTTGCAATATTTAAAGGACCACAGATTCCCCACCACAGTTCTAATATAAAAAGAAATAGAAGCCAGCTGAGGGGTATTTTGTTTTTAGCAGATTCTTGATCCTTAATGACTGGTTTATCAGGATTAAAGTGCAGGATCAATTTTACTTGGGAGCATCCTAAAATGCTTTTTTTTTAAAAATTTGTCACATATTAAAATTTGCATCAGCACTGCAATGGAAACAATATTTACCACAATCATACAAACATAAACTATGGTTTATAAATGACAGTAACAGGGTTTATACAACATATTAGGCCAAAACCAAAGAAGCCATGTGATAGGTGAACCTAGCCTATATATGAGGTTGAGTTAGGAGTTTATTGGAAATTTTATTTAAAATATTTGTGCCAATTACTACTTAAAGTTCAGGCCAATAATTCCTGGAATATTTTCCACTAAATTCCTTCCCAAACATCCAATTCTACTTTTTATATTTACAAACTAGTTGAGACTAATGGTTGGTTCAGAAGATATTTATTTTTTAATGTGAATATTCCTTTTCCTTAACTCCTTAGGACAAGACTGCCAGACTATTGACTAACAAGTCAGATCATGAACTGCATTCTGGTAGTTTTTGCAGTCCCAGACAAACAATATAAAACTGTAATAAATCACTGTTCTTATAGTAGGTTTTCTTGTTTCACATGTGCATCTAGAAAATAAAGTTGGATGCAGATAGAAAATGAAGTTGGATGCAGATACCTCCAACATAAACCAAGATACATTATCCTTATTTAATTGTGAATTTATTTTGTTTATTGTTTGCAAATTGTTAATTGATCTGTGGGTCTGATTGTTTTGAAGCCGTATGTTTATTGGACAGTAAATTTAATAGTCTTTTTTTCTTCATACATTTCTGTTTTTATTCTTGGGAATGTAATATTGTTTCCCTTTTTGGTCTTCTGGGAAAGTCAATTATTAAATTCCATTTCAGAGATAATATTTTTCTTTCTTGTCCTTTCTTCTCAGTAATTTTAAAACTGACTATCACATTGTGGATCAGGAATTATATTAGAAGACTATTATAAATTATTATTAACAGTTACATTATTTTAAGTGCCATAGTTCTTTTGTTTGTTTTAGTGTTCCTTTATTTCCTTTCTTCCAGTTGGAAATAAAGTATCTTCCTTTAAGCCTCAAGATGAGGTAGTGGGTAAGTTTATCTAATCAACTAAAATTGAAAAACCTAACAATTTTATAAAAATCTGTTATTTTGAACCCTCTTATTTACTTTCAGATAGCCCATCAACATTGTTGAGATTGAAAAATATAATCTCTTTTAGGAAAACTTTAATCCTTTTGGATGATTAATATTTAATGAGCATATTGACAGAATTTTTTCTAACCTTCCTCAAAGGAACCATTTTTAGTTTCTCAGTAACACTGTGGGTAGGAGAGGCTGTATATTGGTGATCTTTCCAAGGCCAAAGACCATTATATCTGAGTAGGACTGTGCATGAAACAAAACTATTGTTTTATTTTGGACCCAGAACAAACCGTCACATCCCAGAAGTTCTGCCAAACTCTTGTTTCTGGAAAACTATGGTTTTTTCTCCCATGATAGTTATGAAGATTTAATTCAGAATGGTCACTTCTGTTGGATATAAATTGGCTTGTCATAGAATGTTTTTTTCAGCATGGGAGTTGGGACACACACTAAAAATTATAGCTAATAGGGCTGTGTGAACCATTTGGAGGCACACTTTGTAAGACACTCCTCTGAACCTACTGCTTCTAGCATCAAGCTGTTGCATTAGTTCTAAAGTTTAGCATGGCCACTTTGAGCACCTTTGGATATAATTTCTTCATACATGGGTGTGCACAGAAAACACTTTGCTGACAACAACTCCAACACATGCATTTTCTAAGCATACACATGCCTGCTGAGATCACATAAGGAGGTCCCTGAAGCAACTGTGCCAAGCCATCAAGAAGACATAGTTCCTCAATGCTTTAACCAGCATATTCAGTCCTAATAGCAAATACTCATTATGTTTTTTTCTACTTGTGTTGTTTAATTTTTATGATAATCCTGAACACTGGAAGAAATCTCAAAAATTGAATCCCTTGTTTATAGGGAAAGAAAGAAATTGTCACTATCACTTTATTATAACTTGTCATTTCAGTCTAACTGTATTGGCAATCTGTTTTCATTGAGAATTCAACCCTTGAGAGATTAGAAAAAAAGTTAATAAATGGCATAAAAATACTTTTTTAAAAGATAGCAGTCTTTAGTGATGGAGAAGCAAGACAAGTCTAGAAAAAGGCCCTAAACTTGTCTTGCAAAACCTCAAAGTTTTAAAGTCAGTGTTTAGGGAGAAAGGGAGAAACTTGGAAAGAAGCAGCATAATATCTGATCTCGATCTTTCTTACTTCCTTACTCAAATATCATTAAGTGATCACTCCAGACTGGTAGTCTCAACTTATCTTAAACCAGAGATGAGCAACTTGGTGCCCATGGCTGCTAATGTTCTTGGGATGCTGTATGGCATCTGCTTTAGATTATTTCAGTTAAAAATTAAATGAAAGCTGGCACACTGCAAATCCCTATTGGATCCATATAGGCATTCTTAAAAATAATTGGTGACTGCAGTCTGATGATTTGTTTGGAAGTGGGCCCACCTGCCCCTAATAAAAAGTAAAGGTAAAGGAGTGATAGAGGAAACCCTGGAGAGACAGAAGGAATGGAGAGAACCATCTCACCAGTTTGCCTTCTTGAATTTGGGATTATGATTTGCTCACATCCCTGTAGCAGCTATTTTATGATCACAGAAGCACCTCCCTCCCATAACAACCATTTTATGTTTTGATTAGATCCTTCATGTTTTATTTTTATGTGCTATTTTACAGAACATGATTATTCAAGAAAGAGCAAAGGAAGGGGGAATTTTTGATTCAGAGATTATTATTTTGAATACATTCTTTATGACTATATCAGGGACAGTTAGACAAATCACACTAATGTTCCCAGCTATATTACTTTCAGGTGCATTATATAGAATTCAAAGATGTGTGCAAATCAATGATTATGCTTGGATGTTGTTCAACTGATTGTACTCTTGTCTTGAGCTGGAGGGAATGTATCCTGTTTTCATAGGAATTTTGCCATTGGACTCAGAAGAATCTGGGTTATGTGAAGAGATTCTAGTTCATGAGCATTATTTAGGTATGTAGATAGAAAGGATAGTAATAAATTAATATTTTTGAAATGCAACTGCCTAAAGTAACCAAAACATGTTCAGTTTGTAAATAATGAAACCTGCTTAACTATTATTAAAAGTTTACTATTTTAGATTGAAGCTTTTATCATTTGACTTTCTCTAAATAATGGCATCAGTAATTATTCTCTTTGAACAGAAACTACAAAAGCTGATTCATCTGTTTCTTGTAAATTTGTCTTATTGCTTCATTCACTCTTCCTGCTGACTAACCCTGAAAGTGTAAAAGCAAGCACTTCTAAAAGCAGCATTCATCCTTGGTTTGAAGTCTACATTTTTTTTTCATCTGTTATTCTAAGGTTTTCTTTTGGGGACATTTACTAACTAATAGAAGGAAAATAGTCAAGTCTCCCCCCTGCTCTCAAAAAAATCGCAACGGGTAGAAAACAGAACATGGGTCTGGAATTAATACCAACAGAGTATCTGGAGGTTGTCATGATATCAGCCAGTGTATATGCTCAGCCATGGTGACTTTAGAATATTGTGGGGAAGCATATTATTTTGGAAATGTTCCACACTGTAAAGACTAAACACATAAAGTTCCAATATTGCAAAATTTGTTCTGCAGTTGGAAAGTGTGCCCCATTACAAGGGTTTGCTTTGTAATAGAGAAGTGTTTGCACTTCAATTTGGAGCTTTGCTTTGGAGACTTGTAAAGGATATATATACTTTAAATTATATAAATATATAGAATTCAGAAGAAAATAATGAAATCTTGTATAGTCAGTTGGCACGCATAAGTTTGTACAACATCTGGATTTCAGTTTGCCCTTTTATACAGTATTTCTATAATTTTGAAACTGGTTTGGAACATCTTCAGTCATATTAAATTCTGAATGTAACCTCTAGATTCTCAGTTTTGAACTGTAGTGTTTCTCAACATACATGTGTTGAACCCTGGCCTAGCACTTAAAACAATTTAATCAAAAATAATACAAATATATATTTTATAAAGCAATTTATTCAACTTCTTTTGATTTTTTTCAAATGTTTATGTCCTGACATTTACCATTGTCAAATCAACATTATTCTACAAAATCACTGATGTTTGATCAGCTAAAGATCAGTATATCATATTAGTGAATGGAGAAACAAATGGAAAAGGGAGGATGTTGAACATTTTTTTGTGTGATACTGATTTCATAGAAATAGCAAATTGAATGTCCCATTTCAGTTTTTTTGTTTAGATTAATGTATGCTTCAGCACTGCTATAAAGTATATCACCAAACTTTCTTCTGTGTGAAATAGTTCATAAACCTGAAAAAATCTCCTGGTTTGAATCAGCTGGGACCATTCGTGATGGTGTTCGTGCATATACAGCTCTACATTATTTGTCCTATGTTTCTGCCGGAAAAAGCGTGTTGGTAATGGATGGTGCAAGCGTATGTATAAAAAATGCCATTAGATTTAAATACTTTGATAACTATTTACTAGAGCCAAACATTTAGTGGGTTAAACCCAATGTTGTGGAAGCAAACTTCTGTTCGCACAAGTGGAGTTACTTGTTCTTTCTTCCAAATCATTACCTCAGTCTGTGCTATCTAAATGAACAATAATGGATGTGGGGACTGCAAAGGGAAAGAAATACTCCACTAATATCTGTTTTGCTATGAGGAGGACAATGTTGTAGCAATCCTGTAAATTCCAATGAAATACGATATGCTTTTCTTTCACAGGAAACTAAATTCCACTAATTCCTACAATGTTGTATTTCTTACACTTGCACCTCAGCCGAGCAAAATATCAAAAAATTCAAATTATCTTAATAAAATAGGAAACGTGGTTGAAATAAAATAAAATAGAGATCAATGCAAGAAAATCAAATGCTCGGGTATAACATTGGAATCCGATGCAGGAATTCAGCTTACCAATAGGATTTTTGAATTATAGTCAATCACAAGTGTCACCTGATATTGCTTTTAAAAAAGTACAGGCAGTCCTCGACTTACAACCATTTGTTCAGCAACTGTTTGAAATTACAACAGTGCTGAAAAAGGAGACTTATGACCAGTCTTCAAAGTTGCAGCCATCCCAGCACCCCCACAGTCAAGTGATTGTGATCTGGATGCCTGGCAACTCGTTCGTACTTATGACTGGTTGACAAGTGCCCTGCAATCACATGATCACCATTTGCAAACTTCCATGCTAGCTTCCCCAGAAAGTCAAATGGGAAGCTGGCAGGGAAGATTGCAAGTCGTTGAGGTAAGTCTCCCCACCCACACACCCTTCCCCAGCCCCTCTGCGCTCATGCCACAATGACCACTCATGCATCCCCACGCACCCTTCCTGACCCACACTGCAATCCCATGCACCCAACCCACACTGCAACCCTGCACACCCTCCCCAACCCACATGGTGCCTCTTGTGCATCCTCACATACCCTCCCCGACTGGCACCACACCCCCACACACCCTCCCTGACCCACACAGTGCCTCTCGTGCACCTGACCCATGCTGTATCCCCTGCCCAACCTGTGCAGCACCCTCCCACTGCACCTCCCTAGCCCATGCGGCACTCTGTGCACCCCCTTGCACCCTCCCCAACCTGAGTGGTGCCTCGTGCACCCTCCCTGACCCATGCAGTGCCTCCGTGCACCCCCATACACTCTCCCCAACTCACACGGCAGGCACCTCTCCTGCACCCCCGCACACACTCCCTGACTCACGCAGCACCTCTCGCACACCTTCCCCGACCCAGGTAGCACCTCGCACACCCTCCTCGCATCTCTCACACACCCTCCCTGATACTCCCCCACACCGCTGCCCACTCCCTCGCTCCCTCCCTCACCAGGCAGCAGCCACTTACCTGCCTGCAGGCCTGGGACTTGCAATTTTTTGTCTGCTTTCCCACTGACTTTGGTTGTGGGAAACTGGCAGGAAATTGCCTTGCCTAATGACCATGGGATTCAGTTAACAATGGCAACCAGGAGTGCAGGGATTTATGACCACATCACTTAGCGATGGAAATTCTGGTCCATTGCCATTGTAAGTCAAGGATTACCTATCTATTTTGTGGCTACATTAATTTACATAACTTTCAGAAGCACGGGGAAGTAATAATTCTACTTTATTTGCATTGTTCCAATCTGATTGAGATATATGTGAGTCCACAGTATGTTTGGCACCTGGTGGGAAGGGCATGATCTGTTTTTATATTAGTTGTTGTGAGTCACCTAAGATAATTGTGTGAGATAGGTGTGAGTTGACTAAGATCACTGTGTGAGATAAGTGGCTATATAAGTTCTTTAAATAAAATAAAATTTTAAAAATCTCGAAAGTCTGGACCTCATACCTTAAGAAGAATGTAGGTAAATTGAAATGGATGCAATGGAAAGTAATGAAAATGTTCAGGGCTAGGAAAAATGAGTCCAGTGGAGAAAAGTTGAAGGAACAGGGTATATTTACCTTGGAGAAGACAAAACTGAAAAGAAGCCATTCTAGTGCTTTCTTAAATATTGAAGAGCTGACATATTAAAAAGAGGGAAAAGATTTGTTCTCTGCTGTCCCAGAATGCAGGACTAAAACTAATGAGTGATAATAGAAAAAAGATTTTTAAGTGAATTTTTGGAACTAGGTTCTGGATAGTATGTGGGTTTTGCTTTGCTAGCATGCTCAAGCAGAGACTACTTAATTCTCTGGGATGTTGTACCTTTGGATTTACTGTATCATACAGAAACTCAGGTTAATCTTTCTCAAGGCATCTTTTATGCTCCCATTTTTAAAAAATGAACAAAAGTACAAATGTTCAGGATAGAGCAGAAAAGTAGTGAGTAAACACATGAATCTAGGATCTCTTTTATTCTGTGAATGTAGGATTTGGAAGACTATTTTTTCAATAGGCTATAATGCAGCTAGTTATATATGTATAAATGCATATACATAACCTTTTTATTTCTCTGCAGCCATTTGGTACAATAGCTATTCAGTTAGCACAACACAGAGGAGCCAAAGTCATTTCTACTGTGTATAATCTGGAAGACAAGCAGTATCTACAGAGGCTTGTACCTTCTGTAGGTAAGTTAAATTGTTTTATATAAAACTGCATGAAAAAAACTAATTCAGACCACTTTTTATTTGTAAATGTTCATGTCTTTGTCATAAGCTCTATAGGGTTGGCATCTAGGAAACTGAAATACAGTATTAGCCTACATCATCTATCCAAACTGCATTTTCCAGCTCCATCCTGCACTTGCCCCCCCACAACGTCAACATTTTAGCATTAGGCAAGAATGTTTATATTCACCCATAATGTAAACTCTATACAAGTTAACTTTTCTGGGATAAATTTTGATGATGAGCAGCATAAAAGTGTTTGAATTATCAAACAAGAAATATTAATACTAATACCTGGAATTCAAACTTTAAGTAAAATTTAAACCAGCTAACAATGAATTTTCATATCTGTTCTAACAAAAAAAAGGAATTGGAATGTAGCAGTTCTGTTCAATGTCTTTATATAGCTATAGTATTAAGACAAAAGGAAGATTAGCTCAGTATAATGTGTGAATGCAGCAGTGAGTTATTCCATTTTGAAGAAGCGAGAACAAAACCAAGGTTTGTTTTTGTTAAGGGATTTGTCCTCTGGCTTCTTCTGGGCAGACAGTTTGCAACGTATTATGGTGAACTTGGCCAACCAAGGCATGGGGTCATTATTGGCCTCACCCATTCACCAGGAAGCCAGATTTATTGCCTAATGTGTCATGTGAACTGATCCAACGTGTCTTACTCAGACATACATGGTTAAGGTTAAGGTTAAGCTATATATTGCCAATAATTTTGGAAGAATTCTGGTCTGGTCTCTGCCTGGAACTGACAAGGAATAGAGTGGTTGGAAGGATGTCAAAACTTGAGAGGCCACATTGTGTAGACTTGAATTATAACTTTGTGTAAATTCCTGCTATATAAGGAGTGGTTTCCAATTACTGATATTCAACTATGGGAAATTTGCAACATTCCTAATAAAAACATTAGGAAACCAGAATTGTAAAAACTCACAGGATTTTATGAGAACTGTACATAATATGCCGGTTTCATTTCTTCTATCTTTCATTTAATTTTAATATTATTTATCTTTCACTTTGGCTATTCAGACTTAGGGCAGCAGCTTGTAGACTAAATGGCAATCTAAGTTTACCTATGGCTCTTATAATTGCATATAACACCTTCTGTATTTTTGTCTGTTTAAATATTGCAAGCTCAAAGATAAAATATAGTATATTTTAAAATATGTGTTTCTCTAAAAGAGGAACAAACTTGTCAGAAAATTCATTCTTGGGGACAGGAAGGATCAATTTCTTGCTCATCACATAAAAGCAGTACAAGAACGACACCTATGCTTTGGGAAGCATGTAGCAACATGGGTAGTCCTTGCTTACTGACTGCCTCATTCCTTTGGAATGAGGAATTTGGAACCTTTGGAAGTTACAACGGTGCTGAAAAAATAACCTTACGACCAATGCCAGCATTTACGACCTTCACAGCTTTCCTCAGTCATGTGATTGCCATTAAAGTCAGTATGCATTGTCCTGTGCCTGAACTGTTGCTTTTCTTTTCTTTTTTTACCCCCTCGCAAAGCAGAGAGATTGGAGAGGAAGGGATTACAAGTGAGTAAGCAGGCACACAATGGGGAATACACCAGGCTGTTTGCATAGGGTGCTCATGGCTGCTGGTGCCAGCGCATTGCTTTTGATGTGTATTCCCCATTGTGTGCCTGCTTACTGTCTTGTAATTCCTTCCTCTCCAATGAATGTAAATACAAACATTAATTCCTTTCTTGTTAATTATCCCAGGGAGGTGAGCGTTTCAAAGTGGGGGACGGTTAGGAGGCAAACAAAAGTGAAGGTATGAAACTAATTAATCTTGTCAGTTTCTAGCTGGCTATCCCAGTGCTGCAGGGGTGAGCATTCCAAAGGGCAGGGGAGTGGGCAAAAGGAAAGCACAATCACATGATTTCCTACATAGTGACTGCTTCGTTTAGCAACAGAGTTGCCAGTCCCAATTGTGATAGCTAAATGAGGACTAAACATAAAGCTGTACTTTATGTTATGCCATGAACCTGTATATCTTCTGAAAATGAACTTCAAAGAAGAAAGTCAAATATAATTTGTACAAAATATTTTTTTGTACATGTAGATTATCCTGCAGTGAGATGATTTGTTGTTAATGTTACATAGCTGCAAATCATTTCTTTTTCTAAAATAACCCAACTCTATGGAATTACTTTCTTCTTTAATGTTGAGAAATGGTTTTGCAGTTTATGTTCTCCCTCTTACCCTTTTGCAGCTTCTATTTTTCAAACCACTTTATAATGAGTAGCAACTGTGACATTTAGTTGTCTGCATATAGGTCCTTTTGCCTATTTAAAATGCTGTGAAAAGTGAGAAACGGTCCGCATGTACTTTGTCAGTACAATAAAATGTGATTGTTAATCACTACTTAATATAACTTTCCAAAACAAGTAAGCTTCACTTCTAGGCCATATGAACATTACCTTTGTAGGCATAATTAAAAATTGTTGAGTATGAGATTGGAACAGGATACCATCAAATATTTATTATTCAGTCAAGTCTTGTAAATTGAGTAAGAGAACCTCTTCTAGTGCTTTGTAAGCAGAGGAGGTTTAAACAGGAAGCATTTTTTTTTTATATGCAGATACTGTAAATGGTTCTGGGTACTTGAGAATAAGCTCTTATTCTAGTAGAGGCAGATACTATAATTCACTTTACAAAAATGTATTTAATTATTTCCAGTGCAAATATTTGAATACACAGCCTTCAGGATTCAAATTTTTGAAGGATCAAACTCCTGACTAACAGCACAAGATGCTCAGTTTTTTCACTATAACATAGCAGTTCAAAGGGATGAGAAGGGGGCAACTATATATTATAAAATGTATTCTTTATCCATTCAAATATGTCTTCCACTTCTTGCCACATCAAATCCTTGCCAGCATCATTGTTACTCTTAACCCACTGGACCTTAGTACATCACTGCAGCTCCCTCAAATGTACTCAGTGATCTACTGGCAGACAATCCAGGAAACTCATGGGTGTGCTGATTGAGAGGACAGTGATCTTTGATAATGCATCAGCTATCTTTGTGGTACTTGCAAGCTGTCCTTTAAAAAAATAAAAAATCTCCTGTGACCGGATTGGGATTGGAGCCAATATAGGCAAGATTCAATTTCTGTTCCCATTTCATCTTCCCCTGGCACATTGAATCCATCTTTCTCTAGCACGTTGAAAAGAATAGAAAAAAGAATAAATCAAAGGCACATACTAAAGAAAACTTGTTGTGGTTCCTCTGGTCACCTGTCTTTCTACTGGAGTTCAAATAAGATAAGGCACTCAGAATAAGGAAAATAAATGTGATTAACTAGTTGATTAACTTTTGGTACAATATGTGATTAAAGTGCTTTGCCTTAACCACATTTTGTTTTAGGTTTAATGAATCGTCTTTAAATGACTTGGCTTAACATTTTATGCAAACACGGTCTAAGACTCCTTTATGCATATATTTCTTAGTCTCCAGAAAATTTTTCATATGCCAGTTGTTACCCTCTCAGTCCTCTACGAATCATAATAATTAACTATGAGTATACACTCAGCCTTTGAATTGGCTCTCTATTGACAATATGGAAAGACCGATCAATGTGATTCCATGTGCACAAGTTTTAATACATGGTTCAAAAGCAGAGTGATTTTTACATATCTTTTTCTAATATATCTTTTTGTGATGTATCTGTGTTTTGCTTTCTGCTTTTCTGTTCATATTTTGGTTGGGGAGGATGCTATGTTTTGGTCTTGTAGGGTTTTGTTTCTTTCTATTTTTTATAAACTATACAAAAGGAAAGAAAAATAAAAATAACCATTATTGCTGCCTTCTCCTCAAAGAAGCCCTCAGGCCTCCCCAGATGGTATATAAAAGGTCAGGAGACCCCAAAGAACACAATAGGGCAAGAATGTGCAACTTTTGTCTGGGCTGTTGGCCAAAGTTTACTGTGACGGGAAGGAGCAGCCCTAAGTTTTTGATAACTGGTTATGTCCTACCCACGTTAATTGTAAATCTTTTTAAAGAAAACTGTTTTTCTTTTATGTGTATTGATATCTGGATTGATTTTTAAAACAAATAACATATGCCTAAAATTTTATTGTGTTTTATCTTCCCGCCCCAGTTCGGATTATAGTTGACTCGAATGGAAAATATGACCTGACGGACAGTTGTTTGGAGGAGACAGGTGGATTGGGAGTGGATATCATCATTGATGCAGGAGGTCTGTAATTATTCCAGAACTCTACTATTTCAAAAAATACTTACTTACACGTTCTGTTAATTTAGGTAAACAATTTATAGTTTTAGAGTAAAACTATATCCTCCTGTATAGCAGTTGCATTACTCAATGTTTGTTCATGGGTCTTTCTTTGAAAATGATATTAAGCTTCAGTTAATTCAGAATATATCTGTGATGGAATGGTTTGATGAAGGCCGCACTCAGGGAGATAAGCATTTCCTTAGCCCCCAACAGGATCGTGGGAAGGTTAAGAAGATGAGACTGGCACTATCCTAAGGAATTCACGGTATTTTGGCTTGCTGGCTTGGGAAGTTTAGATTCAGTCTGGAGAGATTGATGTCAGGTTCAGCCCAAAGAACTCCGGGAGACAGTACAGATACAGTTCTGTTGCGTTTATTAGCTTCCACCTCAAAGACAGAATCTCTCCAGACTGAATCTAAACTTCCCAAGCCAGCAAGCCAAAATACCGTGAATTCCTTAGGATGGTGCCAGTCTCATCTTCTTAACCTTCCCACGCTCCTGTTGGGGCTAAGGAAATGCTTATCTCCCCGAGCACGGCCTTCATCAAACCATTCCATCACAATATCTGCTAAGTTTCTGATTTTGTTTTGGAAAATGTTGATTGTCTCCAAAGCATCCAATGAGACCAAAGTATCTGGAGAAGTGTTTTCTTTCCAATATAATTATCCTGGACTTTAAATATCATTCTTAAAGGCTCTTTGAATGTCTTTATCAAATGAAAGTAGGTAAGTGGCTAAAGAAAAGGGGCTACTGATTTGTGATGCCCCATTTATGGGGTATCTGCTTCAAGAAAACTTGACTAGTTGCCAAGTGAAAATATTCCCCTTCTCTGAATCTTTTTAAACAGCATTGTAATCTTTGAGTGCTCTTGCTACAGTGTTTTGGATTATTGCTTAATTTGGGGATAAATTCTATGTTTTTCTGTTTCTTCCAGTGCTAATTACAAATTAAAATAATAAAATATTATTCTTAAGAATAAAAGTGTGCTGGCCAGATTGCATAGGGAAATAATATAATTATAATTGTAAATATGACCACTGTATCCCTTTCTTCCTTTGCTTCCTATAGTGCCAAATCATACAACTGGCAGCAATGTACAATAGTAAATAAAGCAATGTACAATAAAATAAATAAAAATATGATCATCCATAAAATCACATTGTCAGTAAAAAAAAAAAAAACTAGTATCATGCCTAAATATACCAACTATGAGCACCATCAGTGTAGGTAGCCTTAAGGCTGTATGGGACAGGTCAGTTTTTACTGCTTTGTGGAATGATGATAAAGTCTGTGCCTGTCTAGCCTTGAGGGAGAGACTGTTCCACAAAGCAGGTGCATAAGTAAGAAACACTGCCCTCAGGCTGCTGCTGATCTCACCTCTTATGGCGAGGAGAGAGAACTCCCCCTGCTTGGATGAACACACTGGCAGGATGATTCTACCTAGAGAAGGCACATTTTTTTTAGTACAATATATATTCTAAGATTAAAATTATATATACTATAATAGAATTTGCCATTTAATAAATGGAAAGCAAAGTTGTAAAAAATTGTGTTTTATATGTAGGTGGTAGGTTAGGAGGAAGATCTGTTGATTCTGCAAGGATCAAACAAATCATTGTTTTTAAAGGTTTTATATAAAAAGCATCTTGGTAAGAGATAAAAGTACTTCCTATTTTTAAACATTGGATGAAAAATACTATTTAACAATCAGAGTATATGTACAAAAGAAGGAGTTGCCAAAATGAATTTTGGTTTGCATCTGAGCATCACCATAGATGTGTCATCCATGGTTTTGCCCCATTCACAAAGTTCTAACACCATTTTTGCAACTATGTTGGAAAAAGAAAGCTAAAATAAAAACACAAATTTAAAATTTCCAGATCCCTACCACATGAAAGTAGGTAAGTGGCTAAAGAAAAGGGCCTGCTGATTTGTGATGCCCCATTTATGAAATATCCTCTTCAAGAAAACTTGACTAGTTGCCAAGAGAAAATATTGATATAAGGAATATAAGGAAGTACTTTATTTGATTTCTTCCCACCTCAATCAAAAAACTGTCAACAAATTATAATCTCATCAAATTATACTAAACTGTTTACAATATAAAATAATAATCAAATTAAAATAACAGTTAAAACTAATTGTTTAACATGATAGCTTTTAAATTGGAAAAACAGATTAAAAATTACAATCAATAGCTAGAATAGCAACATTCATAGTTTAAAAGCTCTCCTAATTATTTCTCTTTTCAGTAATTTCTGAAAAGCTAATAAAGTGGGAGCTGATTGAATATCAAGCAGAAGAGTTTTAGAAAACGCAGGTTGCAGCAATGGAAAAACAGAGCTTGCGAGCTTCCATGGCCCTTATCTCCCCAAAGTAAGGAACTGTGAGCAGATTTCCATGAGTCCTATGTGTTGGGCGGTTGATACTGGGTGGAGACGACAGCCCTGGAGGTGCTTCAAAGCCAAGCCATGTAGGGCTTTAAAGATCAGAACCAATACTTTTCAGAGCCGAGAGCATTGGTATCACATATTCATGTTGGTGCACACCCACCAACAACTGGATTGTGACACTGAACTAATTGGATGGTCTTCTAAAGCAGCTCCATCTAAAGTGCATGACAGTAGGCCAGATAATGAGGACATGAGTCATTGTTGCAAGGTCCTCCTCCTTGAGAGTTAGCTAGAACTTGGAATTCCTGCTCTATTTTGTTAGACAATACTGTACAGTACATAGATAATGCAATTCTGTATTATCTTACCACCATCACCCTAAACTTCAAACATAAAGACTTCCTTAAGTCAGTTCCTGGTAACTAAATGTTTGCATCCATGCAGTTGACAGCATAATGAAGTAGTTTGCACAGATAGTGAAATTCAGTACATTTAATTTTTTAATGAAATGGAAATTCTAGATTTAAAAAAAAAACCAATGTAAGAGAAAAATTAAACCTTGCAAATCTTTTTGGTTTCCAAAAGTATTTTTATTTTATTTAATAGGAGTTTTTATAATGTAAATTGCTAAATTAAAATCTCTGCTATCTAAATCAAAATGAGAAACCCACAGCCTCTTATATATTACTTAACTGCAACTTCCAGTGGTTCCAGTAGCATAGGCAACACTGAAAAGAGTCCCAGGTTCTCTATCCCTGATCTAATCAGTAAAGCTGTTGTTCAGTCTCATGTAATGCTTTCGCTTAGAACCTATGTTCTTTGCATTTATATCTTTCAACCCCAAGCCACCTCTTATGTCTGTAGTGTCTGTAGTCTGTACAGAACATCACAGTTAGTGGATACTTAGTGGCCTGTTGCCTTTCAAATATACTTTCATTAAGTTGCAGAGTGTACCCATTACTGAAAAGCTGATACATGCAGCATGAAAAGAGACTGCATTAGCCACAGGTATGATTTGGGACATATTTTGTTATAGGCCCCTGTAAAAGCACAAGATCCTTCTTAGAAAACAGTATTAAAAAAGTTACAGTAGTACATTTGTACCAGTTGCTCTGTAGAGCAGCCAAGAGTGCTATAGATACTGACAGCATAGATGGAAATGCTTATATGATTATACATTTCAAGATATGAATACTAATTCATCTATATGTTTTCAAGCCATTGGGAACATGTGTACTTTTTGTATGGGAAATGGATAATATACATGACAAAATAATGAGAAATGAGTGACGCATACACTTGCAACAGATTTGGAGAAGTATGTATTCTTCCAATATTCCACATCCAGGATAAGCACTGGATTGAGGTTTGAAAGATCATTCAGAGATGGAGTTTCATAGGTTATGAATAACCTCTTTCACATTTCAGGGATATCGGAGGAGAAAGTACAGTCTGACTTCTTCTGTTAAAGCAAAGGGGGAAGGTTATCTTACAATTTTAAATGACATCAATATCACTTGAAAACATCTCTTTGCATTATGTAATTTTGAAAGTAGCATTGCTGAAATAGAGGTGATATTACAGCAGGGCCAAGTGTGACTGATAGACTGAGAAAAAGCCAAAATGAGTTCTAACCATGTCAGTTTTTTACGGCCTATATCCAGGAAAGAAACTGCAGAAAATCTTGGACAAAACTCTTGTTTTTCTTCCTGAAAATGTTCCACTTACTCATTTTTGCTGGTCTTTATTCACTCTTGATGCTGAATGTGATTCTGCCCAGGAGAGCAAAAAGGAGAATGTATTAGGGATTATACTGTACTAGATTTCTTTTGTTTGTCAAAACATAGGCGTAACCATTCCATACCCTATGAACTAATTTCTCCAGTTTTAACTGCCAGCCTCCTGAGCACTAGTTAACTAGTGATGAAGGTTGATTAAGAACTGTTTTTGTCCCTGGGCCCAACTTTGCACTGCATAAATAATGCAGCGAGCTACAAGAATAATTTTTACAGCACAATTGTTTGTGAAAATTGATTAATTGATTACATGCCATCAAATCTTTGTTGACTCTTAGCAACCACGTAGATAGATTTTCTCCATGATAATTTGTCCCTATCCTGGTCCTTCAGGTCTTCCAAATGTGCACTCATTGCTACTGTAACCAAGTCTGTCCACCTTGCTGCTGGTTGTCCTCTTTTTCTCTTTCTTTTTCTCTTTCTCAGCATTACAGCCTTCTCCAGAGAGCTAGGTCTTCGTATATGTGTCATATATACTTCGTATAAGTAGGATAATTTGAGCCTGGTAGAGCAAAAAACTGAAAGTGATCCTTAAAGGAAGACAAGGTTAATGTAATACAAAGAAAACCTGTATCCTGAAAAAAAATCAGTCTATTCATATGCAAAACTTTTCAGTCCTTTCTCATCTTCCATTTTTAGAAAGTTTTAATTTGTTTTCAGTGAGATTGCATAATAAGGACAATGAAGCAACTTCACAACAATTGCTACCACACAAGCATGACATCATTATGTTACTCAGTGTTGGAGGCCACTGGGTTACAACTGAAAAAAATCTTCAGGTAAGAAGAAACTTCTGAAACAATTATATAATAGTTAGACCAGTCTTTCCCAGTCTGATATTCTCCAGCTGTATTGGACTTCAATCTCCATAAAATCCCAGATAATATGGAACTTGAAATTCTAATATATAGTATCTGGAAGGCACTATATGTCATCCTAGTCTCATATTTTTGGAAGATAGTAAATAATAAATAACATAGATGTTGAAAACTATATTATCTCTTAGCAGAAATTTTGCTAACCACCAACTAATGTTCTTTGTTTATGCTATTTTTATTCTGAGTAATGTAGCTTAACTATTTTTCCATTTTTTAAAGTTGGATCCTCCAGATTGTCGATATCTTTTCCTGAAAGGTGCTTCAGTTTCTTTTCTGAATGATGAAATTTGGAATTTGTCAAATATGCAACAAGGAAAATATCTATATATCCTTTCTACGATATAATTATTTATTGTATTTATATATCACTTTTCAGAAGATGTCACTAAAGTAGTTACATTGAACAGTTAGACACTAATAAATATTATGCAGGAAAATAGAAAAGTCAAATAAACATTTCCAAAAAGTACTTATTGCTACTTCTCCTCTCAGGGAGAGGGAAAAGTTGGGAGATGGAGTCATCAGGAAAGAAAAACTAGTTGAAAGGTCACCAGAGTCTTCCAATGTCTATTGTCCACACAGCAAACTGGTTTAATCTTTTTTTTAAGCCTACTTTTCCACTCTAAAGAGATATTTAGATATCTTAGAGCCCATGCAATGTGTTCTACATGGGGTTGCCTTGAAGATTGCTGCGTGCACAATGTTGGGTATCCCTAGGTTCACCCATATTACACCCCTGATGCACAAGCTGCACTGGCTCCCAGTTTTCTTCTGGGTGCAATTCAAGGTGCTGGTTATTAACTTTAAAGACCTACATGGCATGGGGCCAGGTTATCAGCAGGATCGCCTCTCCCTGAGGACTTCTACCTTTCCCACCAGAGCAGATAGGGTAGGCACGCTTCAGTTCCCTTCCCTTAAACATTGCTATCTTGTGGGTCCTCAGAAGCATGCCTTTTCTATTGCAGCCCCAGCTCTACAGAACATCCTCCCTGCTGAGATCCGACAGGCCCCTGCCCTTCTATCCTTCCAGAGAGCACTTAAAACCTGACTCTTCCCCCAAGTGTTGGGATAGAGCGAGACCAGAGTGGGATGAGAATCTGGGTGCATCAGGGAAGTGTGTCTGTGGTGCTAGGTTCTTCTGCTTTTATTTTATTGCTGTTGGTTTTATATTTTTTTATTAGTTGTAAGCTGCCCAGGGTTAAGATGGATGGCTAGACAGCTATTTTAAATAAATAAAGTAAGTAAGTAAGTAAGTAAATTCAAAGCAGCAAAAATACATCAAACTGTAACAATGTGAAAATGCCCATGATTGTGAACTATTGTAAACTGATCAATAACTGATTTTAAATATTAATTCCAAAACATTATACTCTCTTTGTCAATCTCTCTGCAAAAATGCTTTTTTATCAAGGCTAACAGATGAGAAATAAGATACGTAATTTTTTTAAGGGATCAGGGGTGGAGTGGAACCTTATATTCACCTTTGCCATGTATATCTTCATCCTTCAATTATTTACATCAATCACAGTTCATTCTTAAGCAGGCCAATCACTTAACTAACATTAATGTAAGTTATAATGATAAATTTTCTTCATACATTCTTGTTCTCTTGGTCTACAGTACTATACAGTACTCCAGGAAATCACAATTCATTTGAATTTACCTTTAAGTAGGTATGCTGCTACAAATATACTGGAATATGGCAAAGGGATTGGAATGTTGCATTTTTTTTCATTTAATTAATATATAAGCCATCTTAATTACCAAAGCAACCGTGGGTGGCTTACAAAGATAAACAATTTAAAATAGGCTAAGTATAACTAAGTAAATAAAAACCATCAACTACCAAGGAGAAAATCACACCCCCCACCAACATTGACAGGGCAAGCTACTGTATATAATCAGAGAGCAAACTCCACTCGCTTCTAGTGCGAAGACGTTACCTAGCCGGGTAATGAAACGTTTGCAAGAAAACAACCAAGTTCAGAGAACCCGAAGGACTCCACAGTTCAACCCTGAGCTACATATATTCTCTTCTTTAGGAATACATGTTCAGTGAAAGCACATAACTGCAGCTTAGAAATAATGAAATAATTGAATTCTCTCTCCACTCCATCTCCCCCTCCTTGCTCACTGAATGCTAGTATTTCAGTGAAAAAATGTTCCTCCTAAATTTTTATTTGATAGGTTAATTTGTGCCTTAGTCACCCTGACATGTATTTGGTTTAAGGTGATGCTGAGAGGTACAATCTGCATGACCAAATATATTATGAATTACATTTTCCCTTTAAACCCAGATCTCGGCACAGCAGTACCATTTTATACACTGTTTCACTTGACTATTCTCTTCTATACGCATTTTAGAAGATGTAATGGAGAAGCTATCAAGTGGAGTTTTCAGGTAAGGACAAATTGCTATTTGAAACTTATAGGTAAATTTATTTTAAGATATTCATTTTAATACCTTATGGATTAACTGCTTTAAAAAGATGAGAAAATACTATTTAAAAGTTTTAGCCCCAATTATCTCTTGAAATCTTAGATATTCTAGATCAGGACTGCAAAACTCATCCAGGGGAAAAGGCCACACTGATAATTTAAAAGTCCTTATGGGCTGCAAAGAAATACCTAGAGTGCTGATCAGGTGTTCCGTGGGTAGCCAAGCAGAGGCGCTGGAGCTGGTGATGAGGCTTGGAGATGCTCAGCAGCATGTCCTTTGGGGAGGCAGTGGTTGTAAATGTACCACTATTTAAAAAACACTAGCAGGTTCCAAAGGCTGCTTGATGGGCACCCTGTTGTACAGGCCTATTCTGTGCTTATTTCTTTTATTAATTACTGAAATTAGGAAATTGTCAAAAACCATCCAAGTATATTTTCCCCTTAGGACAAACTTCATATGATAAATTAGCCCACTTAGGATGGGTTACTGATGTATTATCTGGGAAATTGCCTTTCTAGCTGTTACATTTGTTTACAGCCCATGTGCATATTCATAGATTTTGATAACCTATAAAAGTTTGCTTTACTAAAAGATCAGGTTTAAGGCTATAGTTGTACAGTGTATATGTATATAGTGGCAGACGTTCTCTTTGGGGCTCCCCTTTTAACAGCCTGACCTGCAAGGCAAGGATGGCCTCTATTCTCGTGGCATTTTGGAAACTGGTAAAAACATGACTCTTCAGGAAGGATTTTGGAGACAACTGTGTAGTTCCCGGCACCAGTATTAGTTTAATAATTTAATTTAATATATTATTTATTGACACTCTTCTTTGAATCTTAATATCTGTAAACTGCCTAGAGACTATTAGGGACTGAAGTAGTAGGTAAAGCAAATAAATAAATGCTGCACATTTGTGATCATTTTTTCTTTTTTGTTATTGTTATTCTTAGACCTCATTTGGATAAACCAGTACCAGTATATGAAGCTAAAGTTTCTATGGAATTAGTTCAGAAGAATCAAGCAAGAAAAAAGCAAGTTGTCCAGCTATGAAGTTTCTAAGGCAGCCTGAAGTGTAAAAATGTGAACTTAATGTATTCCGCATATTTGTTAAATATTTATCAATTACCTTCAGCTAATATTTTAATTACTACTGAAAATTATGTAGAAGATTTGTGGGAGAAAATGAAATTTCTGGTCACAGTTTTAACTTTCCGATCATATCTGAAACAGTTCTTAACATTAATAACTGTAGGTTGATTCCCTTATAATCTTAGATCTAATTCAAGTGGTTAAAAACCATAGGACTTACCTTTGACTATTGTGTACTACTTTCATTTGGCTTTTTTCATTTTGAGGGGAAGGGGTACCTGCATGCTCAATCAGATGAGTAAGGGGGAATCCTATTATTGGTCTATGATGTCACTGAAAACCACATGTTTGATCCAAGCTTAGGCAAAGCATGAAATCAGAAGGACAAGTTTCCTATGGATCTAAGTCACAGTCAGGATTTTTCAAAAAACTTCTCAGTCTAGCTATGTTATCTGCTTTAAATTTGTTGATTTTCGGCCTGGCTGAGTGTTTTCCTTCAGTTCCATTAGTAGTATATTAATGGGAAATCATGAGCAACTTTGTAACTTTGTCATTTTTCCTTTTAAGAAATTCACTACACCTTGTTTCTATCTTATTAGAATTAAATTATCACATAAGCTGCAGTTTCATTTACAAACAGCAAGACATATTGAAATAAACCTGAGTAAGATTGTAATCTTGGAAAATCATTATTTCACAATATGGTAAAGAGATAGTTGTCTCCAACTCAGATTTTAAGAACTAGATGCATTATTTGCCTTCCCTGTTTTCAAATATCTACTTTTCAGTTCTATTCTTTAGAAAACTGGGAGTGTAAACCTGCATTTGTTTATGCAGAAATAGGACACTTACTCCCAAAGGTGCATATAGAATTTCATCTAATGTTTAAGGCTACAATGTTTTTTTGATTTCTGATCATACTTAAAATCTATAATTAAAGGATAATAATTTCAGACTGTTGCGCCAAATAAGGAAGAATCTTGTAACATAAATATATATTTATTTGGGCATATGCTTTAACAGACCTGAACTTGCTATGTGTAATTTTATTATTTGGGTTAAATGCATATTAATTTTTTTATTCAGTGGTCAAAAATTCCATTAAATAAATGAGACTGTCATAAACCTATAGTATTGTATTTATTGACATTTCATCCATTTCCCCCCTATTTTTCTTCCTATGTACTTAAGTTGTTTGAAATTTGCTAATTGGCTGGCTTTCATTTTGGAAATGCCTGAGAGTTACTGCGTCTGTTTATTGTTAAGGTCAACTTCTACAATCGGTCTCCAGAAATGTTCTGTTCTGGAACAGGATTGAAGCAACTTTGATCTGCCAGCTTCCACTCCATTCTAGGCTTTCCGCTACTGTATATAACAGGGCTGCATGGATGGTAGATCGGCGTCTCTACTGCAGAACAGCCTTCTCTCAGCTCTGTTCTTCACACTTGTTTGAAACTCCCACCATAACCACCAAGGCAGTGTTCCTCAACCTCAGCAACTTTAAGATGTGTGGACTTCAACTCCCAGAATTCTAGCAGGGGAAATCTAGGAGTTGAAGTCCACTCGTTTTAAAATTACCGAGGTCGAGAAACACCGCACTAAGGAATCATGGGTAATAAGGCTGCATTTCCACTAGGTCGACAAGGAATATCTGGTTCTCGCCGTTCTAATAATAATACCAAAAAATGGACTGCTGAAATGAATCTAGATTCAGCATTCTAAGTCTTCATCTTTTGTCCCGGGCGTTTATTAGTGGATCTGGCGATAAAAATCAAATTTTCAAAAGTAAAAAGCAACCCGTAGGTCTCCAGTTACCCTCTATTGCGCGTCACGAGCGGAGCTCTGTTGACCATCTGGGCTCTGACAGCGAGAAAGGAAGGGCGCGGCGTGCGTGAGGCAGGGGGTGGAGATTCTGGCGAAAGCTCAGTTCGGATTAGTTGCCTTTTCCGCGGGCAAAAGAAGGGACGGGCCCCGCTGCTAGGCGGGGCTTCCACGTTAGGCGCGGGATTCTCCTCGGCTGGCTAGGCGCTTCCCAGCTTCCTGCACCGATCAAGCAGCATGTGTTCCGTGGTTCCCGATTACTCTCCTGGCTTTAAGAAGCCGCCGGAGACCCTGCGCTTGAAGAGGAAGAGGTCTCGGAGAAGCGAAACGGTCGCGGTCGCCGGAGAGTTTCCGTCCGCGGCAGCCCTCAAGGACTTGCCTGCTTCCCCTCGGCTCTGTCCGGGGAGTCGTCGGCGTAACCCCTTCCTGAACGTGGAGAACGCGCCTCGTCTTCTGCCGGCACCCGGTCTGGTTCAGCCTTCAAGCCAGAAGTTTGCAGGAGTGGAGTGGTTAGTGGCGAGGAACGACGTATCCGGCAGTTCCGGAAAGCAGGTAAATTGGCCTCTGGCGTAGCTCTTGCAGATGTGATGTCTTCCATGTGCATTAGACCGAATTGCCTATGAATCAAGTGTGTTGGTGTACCTAGGCAGTGGAAAACAGTAGAACATTGTATGGGATTAAATGTGTATAAGAGTGCGTTTGTGTGCTGAAATGAGTTTTAAATTTTATGAAAAATTGTGATGCTTAAATTTAAGGTGATGATCCTATAACAGGAATCCTCAGTCTTTTGGGCCTGGTGGGCATGTGGGAAATGCTACGAAGATGTAGGCATTCCTACCAAATAGTTAATAACAAAACAATCATTTATCAGAATGAAAACTACTGACAGTAGTGCCTCTCGGTATTTTCTACTGGCTCAGCTTGTTTATAAAGATGTTCTCGTTAGTTACTTATTGTGGTTTTGTTTTTTCCTTTGGTTAGTTGCTTATTGTAGTTTCTGTTTCTTCTTTGGAAGAAAAAAGATAGCTGCAATCAAGCCAAAACCTTTTGTATACCAGTGAATCTCTTTTCCGAGCCTTCATGGCTGCTGTGTTGTTGTTGTTGTTGTTGTTCAGTTGTTAAGTCGCGTCCGACTCTTTGTGACCCCATGAACCATATCGCGCCACATGGCTGCTGTACCAAGTACTAGTCTGTGGCATATTTCCTGACTGCTTGTTCCTTTACTGTTGATGGTTGATCCTAAAAGGCAGAAGCTATCCACCACTTCCATATCTTTATTGTCAGTTCTAAGGCTGGTTGTTTCACCTGTTGTCATTAGTTTGGTCTTCTTTTTATTTAATGTTAATATATTTAATATATATATTTTAATGTATATTTAAAGCATTTTTTTCACTTTGCTCCTTAACTTTTATTACTAGAGCTTGCACATCCTTTGCATTTCCGGCTATCGTAGTACGTGGAGTCCTCCCTGACAGTAATTGGGACCAGGAACTCAAGTGACCACACCAACTTATGATGTGGGCAGTCACAGTTGCCATTGTTAGGTGAATCCTGCGTGGTTGCAGTGTCCCCAGTCATGTAATTGCCATTTGCAACCTCCTTCCAGCTTCCCCATTGACTTTGCTTGACAGAAGCTGGCAGTGAAGGTCACAAATGGTGATCACGTGACTGAGGGACACTGCAATGTCGTAATTATGAGTTGGTCACCAAGTGCCTGAACTGCGATCATGTGACTGCAGAGATGCTGAAACTATGAAGAGTACCCTTTGTTCAGTGCCATTGTAACTTTGAATGGTTGCTGAATGAGTGTACGTTAAACGAGGAATACCTGTAGCGTTAACAACATAGCACAGGTTATTGATGTTTCTTCTTCCAGTTTTAAAACACACTCATCTTCTTCCAATCCAGCTTCCTTTAATATATATTCAGCATATAGATTGGATAAATAATGGGAGACTATACAGCCTTGTCACACTCCTTTGCCAACCTGGAGCCGGTCTGTTTCACCATGTTCTGTCCGTACTGTGGCTTTCTGACCTCTATATAAGCTTCTCACAAGGACAATGAGATGTTCTGGGATTCCTGTTTTTCTGAACACATTCCTCTGCTTGAGATGATCAACATAGTTGGAGGCCTTTCTATAATCAATGAAGCACATAGTGACTTGTTTTTGGTATTCTTTGATTTTCTCAATTATCCAGCAATGATGTCTTGTATTCCTCGACCTTTTCTAAAGCCAGCTTGAACATCTGGCATCTCTTTTTCCACATAGGGCTCTAATCTGCACTGGATAATCTTAAGCATTATTTTGCTAGCATGTGACATTAAGGATATTGTACGATAGTTTGCACAGTCTGTTAAGTCTCCTTTTTTTGGTATTGGAATGTAGATTGACCTCTTCCAATCTGTTAGCCACTGTCCTCCAGATTTGCTGGCATAGCTTGGTTAGAACCTTGACTGATTCTTCTTCTGAAAAGAATCATGAAATGGATAATGCTGCCATACATCAGAAACATCTCAGAAACAACCAACAGACTATTACAACCACATGGCATCACCGCAGCACGCATACCAGCTAAAGCCCTCCTAAACGTCTTAAGTAAACCAAAAGACCCAGTAGCCCAAGAAGAAAAAACAGGAGTTATCTACAACATACAGTGTAAAGACTGTAGCAGTCACTATGTAGGACAGATAGGCAGAAAACTAGCAGAGCGCATCCATGAATAAGTAAACCAAAAGACCCAGTAGCCCAAGAAGAAAAAACAGGAGTTATCTACAACATACAGTGTAAAGACTGTAGCAGTCACTATGTAGGACAGATAGGCAGAAAACTAGCAGAGCGCATCCATGAACACCAGCTAGCTATCGGAAGACACGATGAAAACGCCTTAATCTCACAACACATGGACAGACTCAACCATAGTTTCAACTGAGAAACTGAACGTCCTAGACCAAGCTAAATCCAAAAAACGCTAGGGAAATCCTGGAAGCTTGGCACTCAGAGACATCAGCCATCAATAGACACATAGAGATTTACACACTATTACACATTTACACACTATTCAAAAGAGACAATAAGGAAGCTAAGAAGAAAAGAAAGACCACACATCCTCTCCAGCATCCTACACCCAGATAAGCAGGGATTAATACCAGACAATCAAGCAGAAAACAGCACCCTAATCAAAGAACTACCAAGGAGAAAACCACGCCCCCACCAACACTGGCAGGGCAAGTTCCTGTATATAAACAGGGAGAAAACCCCACACTCACTAGTCTGGTAATGAAACGTCTGCAATCAAACAACCAAGATCAGAGAGCACCAAGGACTCCACGGCTCTTCTTCTGTTGCTTGCCATATTTCAGTAGGTATTCCATCAGATCCAATAGCCTTCCGACTTGGTAATGAGCAGAGTGCTGATCTAACTTCATCTTCTAGTACTAGAGATTCTTAAAATAGGGAATATCTTCAAAAGTAATTTGGATGTTGACATCTTTACTGGACAGTGTTTCAATATACTCCTTCCATCTAGTTTGAACTCCTTTTAATTGGTTACTATCTGTCCATTGGAGTCTTTAGCGTACCAGTTCGAGACTGGAACCTCCTTCTGAGTTCAGAGATCTTTTGAAAGACTTTCCTTGTTTTTCCATGTCTGCTTCCCCCTTCAATGTCTTTGCAGATGTTGTAACACTGCTTCTTGTCTCTTCTAACAGCTCTCCAAAATTCTTTGTTAAATTCCTTTGTGAAATTTTTGTCTTTCTTGGCTTTGTCTTGTCTTCTTGGCAATTTCCACAGTTTGTTCTGACATTCAGTTTGTTTTCTTCTCTTTCTTCATTTTTGGCAGTCTCTTTTCACATTCATCCTTAATAACTTTTTAAAGTTCATTCCACAGTTCATCTGGTTCCCTATCAATGAAGTTCAGGACTTCAAAGGAATTGCTGGTGTTCTCAGTGAAAATGGTGGGTATATGTTCAAGATCATATTGTGGAAACTGACTGGCATTCTTCTTCTTATTTAGTTTAACTTGCACATGAGCAGTTTCTGATCTGTTCCACAGTCAGCACCTGTCCATGTCTGATTTATAATTGAGTTCCTCTACCTCCTCTTAGCAATAATATAGTCAGAGTGATTTCTACATACCCCATCTGGTGATGTTCATGTATAGAGGGGTCATTTTGGTTGTTGAAGACAGTGTGAACTATGAAGAATTTGCTGGAGTGGCAGAAAGTGATAAATCAGTCTTCTGCTTCATTTTGGCTTTCTAAGCCAATACAGCTACATTTTCCTCTTTCGTGTTTCCCACTTTGGCATTCCAGTCTCCAATCACAAGCAGCACATCTTGCTTGCATGTTCTGTCGATTTCAAATTGAACTTGATCATAAAACTCATCTACCTCCTCTTTTGGATCGGTGGTTGGAACATAAACTTGAACAATTGTCATATTAAAGGGTTGTGCACAAAGTCTAATCAATATTCAGTCATTGATTGCATTGTAGTCAAGTACTGTTCTTGTTATACCCTTCCTAACTATAAAAGTAACACTGTTCCTTATTTTTTCATGTCCTGAGTAATAAACAGTGTGATCTTCTACTGAAAGTATCCAATCCCAGTCCATCTCAATTTGCTGATATTTAAGATATCAATTTGTAATTATTTCATTTCATCTTTCACTTTGTTGAGCTTTCCCATGTTCATGCTTCTTATGTTTCATGTTCCCACCATAATTCTGTTTTTGCATCTTCAGTTTTTCTGTTTCCCTATGACAACATCAGCAACTAGATGTCCCAAAGGCTTTAATCTAGCCACATCTTAAACACCATTAGTACTCCAAAAGATCCTCAGCTCTTTCTCAGTAGTATGTTGAGTGCCATCCAACCTGAGGGACCCATCATCTGGCAGTACATCATCAATCATTTTATATTTTCTATCCATGTGGTTTTCTTGATAAAAATGTAGCTGTGGTTTACCATTGCCTTCTCCCGTGCAGTACAAATGGATTCTTTGCCATCGTCGTTAAAGTAATCATCTGCCTCCAGCATCTTCCTATATTGCTGCTGCAGGACAGGAATGTGAAACTTGCTGGTCACATGAAGTTTAATACAGACAGTGGTATTAGGTTACAAACTGAAATAGATTATTATATTCCCTCTTTATATATCTTTTTGTAGTTTTTAAAAAGTCTTCATGAAGATGGGTCCATATGGAAAGAAGAGCTTTCTGAAATAGCAACTGCAGACACACTGATCAATGTAAGAATAATTTCAATTTCTGAATTTCTAAATATGAAGATACTTAAAATTTGAGAGTGCAGGGCCTACTCTTGTAATTTGCATATCCCCCCATGTGCTGCTCTGCATACAAACTATATACAGTCACCCTTCATATAAGCAGTCTTCTTGCAACCAGAATGCTTTGCTTGCAGAATAGCTGCATACCAAGTAACAGTCTCTATATGGAGCTAATTAAATTATCCTGCTAAAGCAAAGTTATCAGAAGTTTACCTCCGGTGCAGTATAATTATAGTTTATGTTGGATAGCAGATGTCATGATCTTTCGATCACTAGCATAAAATATGGCAGGGAATTCTTTAAGAGATGTGCTAAATGACTGGTGGTGGCAGAGGACTGGGTGACTGAGTATGGGGTCAGAAGGATGAAAGACAGGTCAGTGATGATGAGTAGAAGGCAGTGCAAGTAAGGCCAGCAAAAATATATATGTTACAATAATATGTCATTGTATTGTTTCATTCTATCTGCTTTGTTAAAAGCACATAATAGTGCTACAATTACTAGATACACTATAAATTGTCCCCACCCCATGACTGTTTATAGCAGGAAAAAGGGAAATAACCAAAGGATGGATGAACTTACCACAAGTTCCTACTAGTTTTCTTATAGTCTGACACAAGTTTTTTTTTTTTTTGTTTCTCTGTAATTTTAATTATATCTTACTTTTAAAGATAACTTAATGTTCATTTTTCCTTAAAGGAGTACGCTCCCCACACCCAGCACAGCACTAAAGTGTGCTTCCTTTTAAACTTGAAGATCAGAAGTTTTTCCTTGCGCAGTTAGATCTAGATTTATAGATCAACATTACCTTTGTCTGGTATAAATCCAGAACTAAAACTATAATGTTTAATATTTGCAAAAATAGGATGTGCTTCTTCTGTACACATAACTGATGGCATTTTATTGATCTCATTGCTTGCTTATAATTTGTTCAATTTTTTTTTAAGGACTCCTATTTGGCCACTTCCAATACTGACGTTCCTTCCTCACCCAGTTATGAATTTCCTGCAGACTGGAGTATTAAAACTCGTCTTCTATTCACTTCTTCTCAATCATTTGCATGGGCAGATCACTTAAAAGCTCAAGAAGAATCCCAAGGATATATCCAGCATTGTAGAGCAGCATTCATAAACTTACCCCAAAATATTCAGGTAGGTTATGCTGTTGAATGAATGAATGGGAAAACTGCAGTCGATATATCTCAGAGTTAATTCACACTTCAACTGGTTCACTCATTTTGAATTGCTATATTTAGCACTTCAAACACTTTAAAATCTGAATGGCTAGTCATATCTCCCTCATATGTCTCTACTGCTTGTTTCTCAATGCTTGGAGTTCTCTAGTGAGCAAGACAATAAAATCTCAACTGTACCATGTCTAATTGATCAACAAACTTCTCAGTATTAATTCTGTGAATCTGAAGATGTCCTAAGAGTCCTTAATGGTCTAGAGTTGTCAGTGACATTCAGGATGTTAAGCCATGCAGAAGTATGCCTGCATCTCAATGAATACTACCAGATCCTTGGAATCACTAATATCCTCTTCTTAGCTAGTTGCTTATAACTGCTGGTTAGGAAGGATTCAAACCAGGCTTATAGCAGACAGCTTCATAAATTCTTGAAAAAAACTGATGATTGAGAACTATTTTAATATGGGTGGGCTAGGCTATGGGATTGAGTAAGCCTTAGTATTGGGAAAGGGGTGATCCTCCTGATTTCTCAATATTTTTGGTATTGTATCCTTCTGGACTGGCTTTATGGGTTCAGACAACACTGCTCTTGCCTGCTCAGCCATGCTCAAAATGACCAACACTCAGCTCTGTGGCAGTTAAGTTATAAAGTTCTTCAAGGCTCCATTCTACCTTCCTTTCTTTGTAATGACTATATGTAGTTATTAACATATTCGTTAGGAGACAATGTGAGGTGTCATCAGTAGTTTGGGAATTGCCAGATCTGTTTCTCTGCATCATCTGAGTCATAAAAGACAATGTCGTTTCTTGAGTATCTGGACATAGCAGCACACTGGATGAATCTTGACGAGATACTGGATTATGTTTATCTGGGAACTAGGGAGGTTGCCTATTTTGGATGAAGTTGCATACCCTCTGAAACCTTAAATGCACAATATAAGGGTGCTCCTGATGCCATTTTTACATTGGTGTCAGAAATGGATTCTGTGACAAGGAGTTTCCCCACTGCATGGTTTTTGGACAGGATAGCTTTCTTATAGTAATTGACATACAGTTAACTTCACAGTTACCATATGTATTATGTGGGTTAGCTCAAAAGATGCAGCAGATGTAGAATGCTGCATCTAGATTGTTCAACCTGACAATTTATTGTGAGTATGTTATAGTGTTTGGAAGGAGCTGTACCAGGTGATAGTTTGCTGCCAAGTGAAATTCAACTTTCTTTTGTTAGCATATAAAATCTAATAATAGCATAGATCCTCGATACCTGCTCTGCTCTTTTTCCCTAATGTACAAGCTCAATATATAAAAATTTGGGGATATTCTCTCCTTATTCAGTTATAGTTGGCATCAACACATGTAGCTTTTTTGACACGAGCTAAGGTCCTATTTCTTCAGCTAGACTTTTAATTAAATCTATATTGCTATCTTTCCTTTTTTCCTGATTTGCGATTTGTATGGTTACAATAAACTAAATAGAAGTTCCTATATATTAAATAAATTATTATCTAAAGTTAGCTTTGCTAATATGAGGTATGTCATATTTTCATGTGCCTTAAAAAGTACACATATAGTTCCATTTAGTTATCTGTCTGAATAATTTGCTGCCTTTATATTTCTTTTTCAGAAAATAACTATTGCTACCTTCTCCCAATATGCTTTGGTGCAGTGTAAGATATTTTGCTTTTGATATAGAATCTGCTTATAAGGAGCACTGTGAATCATCTTAAATAAATAAATAAAACCACATAAAGGTTAAGCTTTATAAAATGGTTTATTATTCTGCTTTGCAGTGGACTAGTTGTAGAATTTTTTTTTTAATATCTGCCCCCCTTCACAAAAAAATTGTAAAGATTCCTAATTATTTTATAGTGTCCCATTATCAGCATAATTAGCACTTAAATGCAAATAAGCAATGTAAAAAATCCTATTTTATATATGTAAATACAAGCCAAGATAGAATTGGTTGCAGATTTAGCATGTTGCAAAAATATTAAATATTTTAACCTTGTTTTATACATACTAAACATTTATGGACTTGAAACAGAACTCTAGAATTTTCCTCTTGACCCCTTGAAAAAGTGGAAATATATCATAATGCTATTATTCCCTATGTTTTATTATATGAGCTTTTTTTAAAAAAAATCCTTTTCTAGTTTTCCTCTTCACCCTTCCTTCCAGATGTATAGTATGAACGTAAGTGTTCCCACAGTGACCTTGGACAGTACGTAAAGGCTTTCTGTATCCAGCATGCTTCATGGACAGGGGAAGTGTATTATGCAAATTGAAACTGGTGTTATAGCAAGTTAGTTTTAACTCAAAGCAGCATTGCAAATAAGCTGTGGTGCATGAACAGGGACTGGAAAGCTAACCTCATCCTCCTGCTCTTGACATGTGTTCAAAATATAAAGCCTTTGGATAGTTTTTTGATAACTGGGCATTAACCCAATTGCAGTTTAACTCCAGTTGTGATCCAAATTTGTATTAAAATCAGGGAGTGCTGAGTAGACATTTCACATACTCCATTTATTGCTTAGCATGTTCTCTACTAGATTGCCTGCTGTTATGGCTGTAGGCCTATCACAGACTATGAAGGTTTTAAATGACTTAAAATAGCCTTTTAAAAATGTAAATACAAGTTCCACACTTTGATATTTAGGAACCAAAACTTTCCACAGAACTTCGATGTGCTTTCCAGCAAAATCTTGTATATTGGCTTCATCCATTCTTCCCATGGCTACCACTTTTTCCTCGAATTGGAGCCGACAGAAAAATGGTTGGAAAAAGTCACCCTTGTGCCTCTAATGAACTCCAGCAAATGTTCCTGAGTGAATGGTAAGTTGAAGTAAATTCCATTGTTCTGAGAGTAATTTTCAATAGAGATCTTTTTCCTAACCAAAACCTGCTTGTGTTCAGGTACTTAAAACAGAGAAATGCTGTGGGAGGAAAGACGTATTTTATTTTCCTGATTGTTATATCTCTATACCTCTAAAAAGCAGATCATTACTAACATGGCTTTTTGTGAAAGGTAGTTCTGAGTCTCATGCACACTTGTAGAATATATTACTGTAACACACTCTATACGGGGCTGCCCTTGAAGAGCATTTGGAAGCTTTGTCTGGTGCATAATGTGGCAGCACAGGCAGTTATGTGGCGCCTAATTCAGTGGACATTAAAGCTCTGCTCTGTGAGCTACATTGGTCACAGTTTGCTTCTGGGTTCAATTCAAAGTGCTGGTAATGACCTATAAAGCCTTACATGGCATGGGACAGTTGTTGTTTGAGGGGGCCGCCTCTCCCCAGTCTTATTCCATCAGGTCCGGCAGGAAGGGCATCTGGCAGGACCCAGGAGGAGAGACTTTTCTGCCGTGGCATCCACCCTTTGGAACTTCATTCCCCCTGAGGTCAGATTGCTGGCCTTCTGGAAGGGCCTGAAAACATGGCTTTACCATCTACCCTGGGGATCTGGTAACATGGATATAGAGCCCACGAAGTGGCTTTGTTGCTAAGAAAATTGAGTGCACTCTCCCAGAGATTATGTTTTGGTTTTTTATTTGTTTATTTGTTTATTATTTTGTTAATTGTTTTGCATTTTTAACTTTGTACACTGCTCAGAGTCATGTATGTGAGATGGGCAGCTAAATAAATTTACCAAATAAATAAAATTGGATTGACTGATTAAGAGGTTATGTGCCATCAGTTTACTGTTGACTCTTAGTTACATAGAGAGAATGTCTCCAGCATGATCTGTCTCAACCTGGCCCTTCAGGTCCTCCAACAGTGTATCCATTTTCCCTGTAAGGCAATCCATCCACCTTGCTGCCAACCATTCTCTTCATTTCTTTCCTTTCACCTTCTCCAACATTATGGACTTTTCAAGGGAGCTGGATCTTCACATAATATGTCCAAAATATAATAATAATTTGAGCCTGGTCATTTGTGCCTCACGTGATAACTCTGGATTGATTTGTTCTGAGATCCGTTTGTTTTCTTGGCTGTCCATGGTATTCTCAGGAGTTTTCTCCAACACCAAAATACAATACACTTCATCAAAATCAAACTTTCGCTTAGATAGAGTGTCAAAGGAAAAACTATTTCCTGCATGATTCTGATTTTCCACTGTTACTTTATCAAGTCCTAGACTGTGGTGTATTTCTTGATTTATGGCTCCTTTGCTGTTAATAGTTGATCCTAAAAGGCAGAAGCTATCCAACACTTCAGTATCTCATTGTCAGTTCTAAGGTTGGTTGCTGTACTTGACATTAATTGGATCGTCTTTATATTTAATTGCTGTCTTATTTTTTTCATATGCTCCTTGACTTTGATTACTAGAGCTTGCAGATCATTTCCATTTTCAGCCATCAGAGTTGTGTCATCAGCATAGTGCAGATTATTGTTGCTTTTTCCTCCAGTTTTAAAATCATGCTTATCTTTTTTCATTCAAGCCTCCCTCAATATATATTCAGCATATAAATTGAACAGAGATTATATAGCCTTTTCTCATTCCTTTGTCAATCTGGAGCCAGTCTGTTTTGCCATGTTCCATCCAGACTGGGGTTTCCTGTCCTGTGTATAGGTTTCATATGAGGACAGTGAGATATTCTAAGTTTCCCTAAGGACATTCCACAGCTTGACATGGTCAACACAGTTAGAGGTCTTTCTATAGTCAATAAAGCACATCCCCCGACTTTGGCTTTCTCAATTATCCAGTATGCATCAGCAATAGAAAGCTGTTCCTCAGCCTTTTCTAAAGCCAACTTGAACATCTGGCATCCCCTTTCCATGTAGGGCTCTAATCTGTGCTAGGTGATCCTAGGTATTTTTTTACTAATGAAATTAAGGATGTTGTATGATAGTTTGCATTCTTTAAGTCTTTTTTCTTTGAAATTAGTTTGTACACCTCTTCTAATCTGTTGGTCACTGTATTGTTTTGCACTGTATGTTTTGCTAGCATAGTTAGGTTAAAACCTTTACTGATTCTTCTTCTCTTCCTTGGCATATTTCTGTAGATATTCCATCAATTCCTGTAGCCTTCTCACTTGGTAATGACCAGAGTGTATTTCTAATTTCATCTTCTAATAGTACAGGTCCTCATAAATAGGGAATATCTTCTAAGGTATCTTGGATGTTGACTTTTCTACTGTTCAGAATTTCATGTACACTTCCTATCTTGGTTTAATCTTTGAATTAATTACTTTCTCTCCATTGGCATCCTCTAGCATACCAATTCAAACTTGGAATCTCCTTCTAAGTTCAGAAATCTTTTGGAAAACTTTCCTTGTTGTTCTGTGCCTCTTAGCGTCTTCAGTGTCTTTACAGATATCGTTGTAATATTACTACTTTTCTCTTCTCTCTGAAATTCTTTGTTAAGTTCCTTCCCGAGATCTTTCTCTTGGCTTTGGCTTTTCTTCTCTACTTGGCAATTTCCATCATCTGTTCTGACATCCAATTTAGTTTATTCTATCTTTTGGTCTTGGCAGCTTTTTTCACATTCATCCTTAAGAACATCTTTGATTTTATTCCACAGTTCCTCAGGTTGACTATCAATGAGGCTTGGGACATCAAAGCAGTTCCTGATGTTCTTCTTGTAATTGGTAGAGATATGCTCAAGATCATATCATGGAAACTGATTGGCTTTGTTCTATTTTAGTTTGACTTGGAGCTTGCATATGAGCAATTCATGGTCTGTTCCCCTGGCCACATCTTTGCTGTAATAACTGAGCTCTTCCACTTCTTTGTACCAATTATTATTACAGGTAGTCCTCGCCTAACAACCACAATTGGGACTGGAATCTCAATTGTTGAGCGAAGCAGTCGTTAAGTGAGACACCCATGTGACTGCATTGCTCAATGACCACAATCTGGGCACTCCCGGTTGCGGTCGTTAAGCAGTCTCCTGGGTTGTTAAGCAGACAGAGTGAAAGAGCTGTCTGCTGAAGGATTTCAGCTCCGCACAGAGCTGAAATCCTCCCAGCAGGCAGCTCTTTGAGAGCAAAAAGGCTGCCTGCCAGACAGTTTCAGCTTCATGTGGAGCTGAAATCCGCCCTGCAGGCAGCCCTCTGAAATGTTCCTAAAGCTCACCAAAGGGTTCCTAAAGCCTGCCAAAGCCCTCCATGGACAGAGGGAAATCCTTGTGGCTGGAGGAATGGAGCTCAAATCTTTAGGAACTGACTTTCTGGGGAACCCACAAAGAAGATTGCAAACGGCAATAACATGATTGCAGGGTGCTTGGCAGCTGGTCATAAATGCAAGCCAGTTGCCAAATGCCTGAAATGCGGCCACATGACCACAGCAGGGCATGGGACATTTTACAATGGCCATTGTCAAATGAATGGTCATTAAGTGAGGACTACTAGATTTTTATCCCACCTTGATCTCTCTCTCTCTCAAGGCGGTGAACATACCTAATAATCCTGCCTCCTATTTTCTCCACAACAAAAACCCTCTGAGGTGGGTTGTGCTGATAGAGAGTGACTGGCCCGAAGTCACCCAGCCAGCTTTCGTAGCTAAGAGGGCCTAGAACTCAGTGTCTTCTGGTTTCTAGGCCAGCACCTTAGCCACTATACCAAACTGGCTCTCCAATAATATACATAGTCAATTTGATGTATGTCCTCCGTCTGGTGATATCCATGTATACAGGCATTGTTTTGGAGTATAAATAATGGACTAGTAATGAATAAATAATTGGCTTGGCAGAAACTGATAAGTTGCTTTTGTGCTTCATTTCTGTTTTCTAGGCCATGCAGTCTGAACTACACTTACCTTACTATTTCTAACTTCGGCATTTCACTCTCCAACCACAAGCAACACATCTTCCTTGCATGTTTTGTCCATTTCAGATTGAACTTGACCATAAAACTTGTCAGCCGCCTCTTCTTCTGCATCAGTGGTTGGAGCATAAACTTGGATAGCTATCATATTAAAGGGTTGTCTGTGAAGTCTAATAGATGCTATTTGGTCATTGACTGCAGTGTATAACACTGACTTTGCTATACGCTTCCTGGCTATGAAAGCAATTCCATTCCTTCTTTGTTTTTCATGTCCTGAGTGGTAAATAGTATAATCTTCTGGCTGAAAAAGTCCAATTCCAGTCCATTTCAATTTGCTGATGCCTGAGAGATCAGTTGATTCTTTTCCTTTTTTACTGTGTGGAGGTTACCCATGTTCTTGATTCTCATGTTCCATGTTCCTATTTTAATTCTGTCTTTGCAGCTTCAGATTTTCTTTTCCTGCATGGCAACATTAGCAACCTCATGTCCCAAAGACTTTAGTCTATCCCTATGATAAACACCATTAATATTCCAAAGGATCCTTAGCTCTTAGTAGCATGCTACATGCCATCCAGCACAATACGATTCATCACTTCATTTTGTCTATCCATGCAGTTTTCTTGGTGAATTACCATTGGCTTCTCCTGTACATTAAAAAATATCATGACTTTGCCATTGTCAGTAAAGCAGCTGCCGAATATAAACGTCTGCTTGCTTTGGCTCAGCAGCTTGGATGACTTTCTTGCCTTAGGTGACCCAGCTGGGAATGTGTACAATACTCCCATTCTTTGCTCATTCCTCCCAGGAACACCCCACTACCACACACACAAGGTAGCCTAACAGGATTTGGGGCGGTAAGACTGGATTACAGCCAAGTACATTTTTTATTTAACATTCTTTAAAAGGTTTTCCAGTTATTTGCTTTCCCCTTATTGTGTTGAGGTATAGTATAACTCATTTTATTTACCAACCAACAAAAGGTACAGGAAAGCAAACACAACTGCCTTTTTGGATAAGTCAGGAGCATACTTTGGTTCCTCATTTGAGAACTCTTGGCAACTCAAACGTTATCAGAACTTCCTAATATATAAAATATTCTTTATTCCTTCTTTACTTTTCCAGTTGAATATGTCCATGTCAAACTTTTATTTGCATTAATAATCCATTCCCATTACCTGTCAGGAAATTTCTTCCAGACAATAATTCTACTTTTTTTCCTTTGCATTTATGGCTGAGTGTGCTGTATGTAAGAGACTGCATTGTGTTTGAAAGAACATAATAGCTTGAAGAGAATTTATACTCTTCAAACTGTATTAATTACCTAAATCAAACACATTTCAGAACCTTTTATCATGATTTGATTTTTCTAGTCATGCAGATTAGTGATCTCAGAAGGGCTATGGTGCTTTCATGAGCTGAATGCAAGTACAGCATATCAGTTTCATAATCAGTTCTGCTTTGTTAAAAATCACTCGTCCCTCTTTTTCAACCTTTAACCCTTCCCCATAGCAGCTGTAAATATACATAAGAGTTTGTTCTCTGGTCTATACTCTCATGTATGTTTTGAAGTGGACTTTGATCTGTGAAAGTTCATACAATAATAAATTGGTTGGCTTTTAAATTGCCTTAATGTTCTTTATTTTTGTTTTTAAGAGACTAACATGCCTGCCTGTGTGGTAACAGCCACCACAGTTGTAGACTTAGTGTTCTTGGAAACTTTCCAAAGATGTGTGGATTTCATTTTTCAGGCTTTTTAACAATAGCCATGCTTGAAACTGTAGATGTGGAAGGCACCCAGATTGAAGAAGTCTTTGGTAAACAATGGTGAATTAAAATCAAAAGTTGATGATCTCTTCACACTGATGCATGTGCAAAGAGTACATAAAACCACTTTCTCTATATGTAGCCATTAGATTAAATTAGGCATTTCTTGGTTACAAAGGATTAATTAATTTAAGTTAATTTATTTTTCAAATACCTGTGAAGCAGCTACTTAATTTTCACCTGATGAAAATAAACTGTTTTAATTTATCCAATAATTATTACACTGTTCTGTGGACTATCACCTGTAGGATTTCATTTTTGCTTCCCTATTTTTACAACAGTAACATTAGACCAAGGAAGAGGGAAGCAACAAAAAGGCTGTATAGGAAACAAAAGAAGATAAAATTAGCCAGTGCATCAATTCCTATTTTCTTCTACCTTATTTGAATGACGTAAGAAAAAACTGATATGTAGGTATTTTAAAAATGCTCTATATAAGTGAAAAGAACCCAGAATAACATACAAAATAACATGACAACTAGATGCAAACTCTTGGTTATAAGAATGAAATAATGTAAGTTACACTGGAATAATGAATTCACCTGAAATAATAGATTTGCAGTATTGCTTAGGAATGCATCAATGTGTCAACTTAAACAACTGGTTTAAGCTGTTTGCTGGTTCTGTATTGGGAAGTTGATCATTCCCTATTTGTTTCTTTAATTTGCAGGTCTCTCAGTTTTACCTCTCTTTATAATCTGTTGAGAGCCAAGCTGTGTCCCTATTTCTACGTTTGTACTTATCAATTCACTGTATTGTTCCGTGCAGCAGGACTTGCTGGAAGCGATACGATCACTGCGTTAATTTCTCCCACAACCAAAGGATTAAGGGAAGCCATGAAAAATGAAGGTAAAGAAAAGTAATGAACAATGTAAAAATTCCTCTTGTACATAACCAAGACATAAATCATTGTTTTTTCCTTTCACAGGGATTGAATTTGTTTTACCATTCCAAGAAATTAGACAAAAGAAAATCAGTGCTACAGCTTCTTCTTTAGAAACAGAACTTGAAAAAGATACTGAAATAACAGGCAATGAAATTGAAGAGTATGTAATCTGTTGCTTACAATGGCTTGATGGGCATTTCTCTTAGAAGTATTAGCTCTTGTTCAAAAATTGGTCATTTACAAGTTCTTTTATCATAATATTTTGCTACTCAGAGAACCGGGAACAAGTGGTGGCGATGATGATGATGATGATGATGATGGGTTTTTATGGCTGGTGGAAATGGGAGTTGAAGGCAAAATTAAAAAACCAGACACAATTTCTACCAAACTGTATCCTTTAAAAGCTAAAACATTTCCTTTAATCAGTGGCTGATAGTTTTTTTCCCAAAATCTACATTATATGAAAGTGGGGAAAGCAGCACTCAAATTAATATTGAGCAGGCTTAGACAGCAGTCCAGGTGATTTTAGGATCTGTATATAGAGTACTGTAGTGGCTGCTGCTCAGGTAGTCAAAATGGCAATGATCATTTTCAAGCTTTTTCAGTTGCTTCAAATGGGTTGCTTCAGTTTGTCTTTTTTTTTTTTTTAGGAAATGACCTCCCACTTAATATGGCAAGAAAGCACATTGGAGGGAGGCTTGCAAGGATAAATATATGTTAAAAAGTATGTTTAAATACTGTAACTATTTGGCTAGTGTGGGTCTTCCAG